GAGAACAGTGGAGGAACAAAGTGTGCTTCATTTCTAGTGGTCAGAGCAATTTTCCCACAATTCTCACCTTTGATCCGTGATCTCGCGATGCTTCCTGTCAGTATTCCCGAATGTCCTTAGACAGAACACAGGCGAAACTACCGAATTTTGTCCTAACAGAATGAGAACAGTTTCTCCATTCGTGTAAGGATGCAATTCGGGACTTTGTTTGGATTGAAATTTCATTCGAATGAATGAAACTCCGATCCTATTCGTGCCGCGGCTCCCTAATTCTCACTGTATCAGGGAGCTATCTACCAAAAGGCTGAAAGACCTAAATTGGTCTTTTTAGCCAAATTTACTAATACTAAGTAAAGATTACTTGTCTATTATGGACATGTCTATTATACAGTGAGCAGCCTGCTCACTGTTATGAAAAAAAAAAAACACAACCCTAGTGTCCCCCCTCCAGAGCCCCTACCCATGCTGTGTGAATGAGGGCTATTACACTGAATGGGGGACCTATTGCTTCCACCCTGGCCCCCACCCCTGAGCGGCGGGTGGGGGCCCTAAATGAAAATGTGGGAGGATGATCCTTTTGTCATCCCCCCGGGTCCCCACCCCTGAGTGCCAGGTGGGGGCCCTAAACAACAATAAGAGAGGGACATCTATTGTCCTCTCCCCTGGCCCCCACCCCTGAGCGGCGGGTGGGGGCCCTAAATGAAAATGTGGGAGGATGATCCTTTTGTCGTCCCCCCGGGTCCCCACCCCTGAGTGCCGGGTGGGGGCCCTAAACAACAATAAGAGAGGGACATCTATTGTCCTCTCCCCTGGCCCCCACCCCTGAGCGGCGGGTGGGGGCCCTAAAAAACAATAAGGGGGGGGACGGACCTATTGTATGTCTGCCGCTTTCCCGGCACCCACCCTTGAGTGGCGGGTGGGGGCCCTAAATGAAAATGTTAACCTCCCCCAGGTGACTAGAGGTCCTCAAGCCCCTAGTCAGCCCCTACCCAAAAAAATGAATAATCCCTTGCCTATCCCCCCTCACCCTAAAAATAGTGAGGTGGGGGAACAATAAAACTAAATCCTTCTTCTAAAATCTTATTTTTTTCAGCCCCCAAAAATGCCAAACAAAAATCCATAATACCCATCGAACTTTTAAAATAAAAGAAAAGAAAACCCCGCAAAAAAACCCAGACGCTAGAAATTAATCCATCTTCACCCATGGAGGGAAGGGCGGGGAAAGGCTTATAAAGCCTTCCCATGCCCTGCAGTTAGGCTCAGAGCGCTCTGATTGGTTGGTTTAAGCTAACCAACCAGTGTGCTCTGACAGGTAAATTTAGAGACTTACCAGTCAGTCTCTTCATTTACCTGTCACAGCACTCTGGTTGGCCTGAAATCCAACCAATCAAAGAGTTATGAGTCAAATTACACAGCATGGGAAAATTCCAAAGAGCTTTCCCACACTGTGTAAAATGACACAGAGCACTCTGGTTGGATTTCAAGCTAAAGAGGTTTGAACAGGTAGAAAAATACAGAGTGGGTATGAAAAAATATATGAAATTCACTTAAATAAAAAAGGGTTAAAAAAAACTAAAACAGTTAAACAGTTCTTTGATTCCCTCAGCACTTGATCTGTCTCTTTCGATGTAGAAGTGACCTAGGAACCGAATGCACATGTGCAGCGAGCTCCGCATGCGCATTAGGCCTTCCCCAAAGGAAAGCATCGAATCAATGCTTTTCTATGGGGTTTTGCTAGATGCTGGATGTCCAGAGTCATTTCACGGAGTTAGACAGCCACTACTGTCAGTCTTAACTCTGCAGTGTAAACATTGCAGTTTCTATAAAGGGTTAAGGGGACATGGGTGCGTATAGTATCCCTTTAAGTTGTATTTGCAGCCAGATTGTTCCCGATTACCCAATTACCTAAAGCTTACAGAATATGTGTATTTATTTTCTTTAGTATGGAATATCTGTAATGTCAGTATTGGGTTTTCTGTATCAACACTGCCTGTGGCATGTTCATATGAAGCTCATGCAGTCTTTTGGATGGCTGACATTGATGAGGAATCTGTTCTGCTACTGTTTGTTTAAAATATCCTTTTCTAAGCTAAAAGGATTGTCCATCTCTGTGACAGAAGATCCCATGACAAATGTGATACCTTTTAAGTAGGTTAATTGATCTTCGAAGGTCAAGTGATGTTTTCAAAGGGTAAGCCTCTTGACTTAAATCAATGAGATAAATTTGCTTTGGGTTAATGGGCCAAAATGATTTATTAATTATTCATGTACACTGCAGCAATCTGGATCTCTGGTTTTCCTTCATGTATTGTTGAAAGGGCTTACACTTCCCTTTACATGGTTTTCTTTTTATAAAGAAATTGTGGTTGACTATCTTTTTGACATGCTCTGCAATGAATCACTAGAGGATGTACCCTGTTCGGAGATATATCATCATGAAACTGAGAATTCAATTATCATCTTTACACAGTTGCTGAAACTGTACTTTCACACCACCAAAGGAAAGGTTTTGCTCAGATTGATGTGTTGCAGAGAAGCACTGTCTCCTAGAGGCACTAAATAGAATCGTCGGAACTTGACACGAAAGTTTGGATAGTTAGAAAAGTGTTGGGAATTTAGTGTTCTTATTTACAATTATGTACAACTCTATGAAATGATACAAAATTGTTTGTCAAAAAATATTGTTAAATACTCAGATCACCACAGCAAAATTGTGGACCATTGGCCACACTTTTTTCCAAAATTGCAAAACTACTGCCGTGTGATTTAAGAATACATTTCATAGAATATATTTGGTGGATAATTCTAAAACCATTCACTTTTAAAAGTGAATATTTTGACATTCTAAGCTCCCTTTATGCTCTAAGTAGGTGAAGGTGTGATTAAAATTTAGGAGCCATGGGGAAGATACTCTTGGCACTCCAAGTCCAACCTTATGCCTGCTGCACAGATAATGAATAAATTTAATTTCCCAATGTTTTTGTTCAATGCTGTTGACAATGTAAAATAATAGCGGCCTATTCGCTGCAGGCTTTTCAATGTAAACCCTGGCTTTTCAGAGAAAAGGCAGTGTTTACATTGGTGCCTAGGAACATCTCTAGTGGCAGTCACTCGGACTGCCACTAGAGGTGCTTTCTGGTCCAGTGCTGCACAGTGTGCAATACTGACGTTCGGTGTCTTCACGCTCTGCATGGAGATGCTGAATGTTCCTTATGCAGATGCATTGATTCAAGGCATTTCAATGAGGAGGTGCAGATTGGCGCAGTGTGGCAGTGATTGCTCTGATGACTTCTTAGCCAGCACTTCTAGTCAGGAGTATTTTTTTTTATTTACATTTTTATTTTATTTTTAGATTTCAGCACCATGGACGAGATTTACCCTGCTTTGGTAGGTGTCCTGAAACAGATCAAATCATAGCATTGGCCAGATATTGTAGTGACCTGGCGAGGCTGTTACAATTGTGTAATATCCTACCGAGTTGCAAACATGGCAGTGCTGGAGCAAAGTAGTGTAGTAGTAATGTATACTCAAGTTTTTAGTTGAATCTATAAATGTATCCACAATAAAGGTATATTAGTTGCCTATTATAGATGGGGGCTGTTTCAAAGTGAACCTGTCTTGACAGGTTAACGTTAAGCTCTGGTTGGGCTGTCAAGCAAATCATTGCAGTTGTACACACACACCCATATTAATTCCTGTGCTGAGTGATGTAAAAAGATATTCAATGTTGTTTTTTTTTAAAATATTTACTATTATAATAATACTAGTGTTTGATTTGTATAAAACTGACCTGTATCTTTATTATTAATATTATTATTATATATTGCCATTTATATAGTGCCAACAGATTCCGTAGCGCTTTACAATATTATGAGAGGGGGAATTTAACTATAAATAGGACAATTACAAGAAAACTTACAGGAATGATAGGTTGAAGAGGACCCTGCTCAAACAAGCTTACAGTCTGTAGGAGGTGGGGTATAAAAACATTGGGACAGGAAATGGCACTCCAATAAGGTGGGAGTGAAGCAGAGCTGAAGGAGAGAGTAGAGTGCTGCCCTTTAGGAGAGAGCAAGTGACAGTTATGTGAGGTAGAGCTCATTCTGGGAGGCCATAAGCTTTCCTAAAGAGATGGGGTTTAAGGCACTTCTTAAACGATTTAAGACTAGGGGTGAGTCTGATAGCAGTAGGCCCGCGAGAAGTCCTGCAAGCGTGAGTTGGCCGTACAGGTGCGAGCAGCGGACAGGAGAAGGTCACGAGTAGAGCTGAGAGACCGAGAAGGGGCATTTCTATGGATATGTGAAGAGATATAAGAGGGACTAGAATTGTTCAGTGCTTTTATAAGCCTCTAGAATGTAAGCTCATGGAGCAGGGCCTTCCACCCCTCTGTTCCTGTACGTCCAGTTGTCTGGTTACAAATACGTGTCTGTTAGTCCACCCATTGTACAGTGCTACGGAATCTGATGGTGCTATATAAATAATAAAATAATAATAATAGGTATGGGTTAGCACTTTGAATCGACTCCTATAGGATACAGGAAGCCAATGTAAGGACTGAGAGGGGTGAGGTGTGAGAGGACTGACTAGAGAAGAAAATCAGTCTGGCGGCAGCATTTATTACAGACTGTAGCAGGGCAATATGGCTTTTGGGAAGACCAATTAGGAGAGGGTTACAATAATCCATGCAGGAAATTACTAGAGTAGGGACAAGTTCCTTGGTAGCATCTTGTGTAAGAAAGGGGTGGATGCAGGCTATGTTTTTAAGATTGAATCTACAGGATCTGGCAACATACTGGATGTGAGGCCAGAATCCAGTATGAAGCAAAGACAGCGCGCTTGCAAGGATGGACTGATGTGGATACCACTAACTTGAAGGGAGAGTGAAAGAGGAGGATCAGTATTAGAGGGAGAAAAGACAAGGAGCTCCATTTTTTTAAGAGAGATTTAGTTTCAGAAAGCGGGAGGACATCCAGTCAGAGATGGACGAAAGGCAAGCAGTGACACGTTGCAGGACGGCAGGGGAGAGGTCTGGGGAGGAGAGCTATATCTGGGTGTCATCAGAGTACAGGTGGAAGTGGAATCCAAATGAGGTAATAAGTTTGCCAAGAGAGTCAGTATAAAGAGAAAATAGAAGGGAACCAAGGACAGATGCCTTGGGGGACTCCAACCGAGACAGGACCTCCAAGGGGAGGAGATATCATTAGAAAAGGAGACACTGAATGAGCATTGGGAGAGAAAGGAGGAAAACCACAAGAGGACAGAGTCACAGAGACAGAGTGATTGAAGAGTTTGAAGAAGGAGAGCATGATCAACGGTGTCAAAGGCAGCATAGAGGTCAAGAAGAATTAGTCTGGAGTAGTGGCCTTTGGATTTAGCTGCAAATTAGGTCGTTAGTAACTTTGATAAGATCAGTCTTCATAGAGTGGAGAGGATGGAAGCCAGATTGAAGAGGGTCATGGAGAGAGTTGGAATTGTGGAAGTGAGACATACGGTTAAAGACAAGTCTTTCCAGAAGCTTATATGTGACGATGGTTAGAGGGGAAGGGTGGGTCAAGAGATTTATTTATTTTTATTTTTTTAGGATAGGTACTACAGTGGCATGTTTAAGGTCAGAAGAGAGAGCGCGGTTGAAGATGTGTTAAGAAAGGCACAAGACATGGGAGAGAGATCTGATATGGTGAGATGGGACAGGATTTTGCATTTTGGATTAATGATCTCAGCCAGTTAGGTGGGGCCAGTTGCAGAAAGAACTGTGTGACGTGGGGAAAAAATGTGAGTAAACCTAATCATAATAATGTAGGATATTTTGTCTTAAATGTTATGCTTGCTGGTAGACAACATACATGAGCCATGTGTGTCAATCTGTGTGTTTCCATTTCTTAGAGGTAATTTGTTAGGCTGTAAATGTACAAAATTAACTAGAATGAACTCCTTTAATCTCGTGCTTGCAAGTGGTCTTTTTTACTTTACTGATGATACTAAATACATGGGAATGTATTTACTTAAACTAGTGAGTTCAAAACATATTTTAATTTAAGAGAACAAAGTTAAATATAATGCCAAGTTGGGTATGTTTCAAGTACAGCTGTATTGGCAGTAATGTCTGCAAAATGATAAATTAACTATACTTCACTGTTAACAAAGCAAACCAAACATTTTTGTAAACATTACTTGCACATTGGGTCTACCTCTGGTCTCTCTTTCTTTTTAGACAGCATGAGTGAAAAGGAACAGTAGAGCTACACTTCATGCTCAGACATTAATCTTATTAAAGTCCATATTACCCACTTCAGGCCTTTATGAAGCAGCCTTGTATGTTTCATCCTCTAGTACAGGCTTCCCCAAACTCCGGCCTTCCAGATGTTGCTGAACTACAACTCCCATGATTCTCAGCCTATTTCATTCATAGAATCACGGGAGTTGTAGTTCAGCAACATCTGGAAGGCCGGAGTTTGGGGAAGCATGCGGTCTAGAAAATGGTAAATATTTTTTAGACATGGTATCCCATAAAAATCCCTGTTTTTTTCTTCCAATCTAACATGTAACTATTTATTCAGATTTTGTTGCGCAATCATTCAAACATTAAAGTGAGATTATTATTTTATATGTATTTTTATTTAAATTTTTCCCCCCGACTAACAACTGTACCATATGTTGCTCTGTGGGATGCTCTTTTTTCTTTTTTTCTGACATTCTTGCGTTCATATTTAGCTCTTCTTATTCTCACACTTGGTACCCTGCTTTAATCCAGCCCACTGAGTGTGGCCTGCTAACCACACATTCTAATTTCACCTTTGAATGTTTTTGCATTCAGACACTGTTCCAAATGCCTTGCTTTTTTGAGGAGCATATTGAAGAAGTAATTGGGAAAATGTATGTTTTTGTGTGTGTGTATTGCTGTAGCACTCCAACACACAAGCGTGCTTACTTGGGGCCTCATGCTCAACCATAGATTAGAATGTTTGTGGTTTTTATGTCTAATTTCTGTGCATGGGTACCTCTATGTTGCTTTAAATTATGAGCCCCCCCCCTTTAAAAATTACATTAAAAAAACCAGCAGTCCAGTCCAGTCCAGGAATGGCCTCCTCTTGGGAGCTTCTCTAGTGCCAGAAAAACAAAGCTGTTTTCCTGGCACTGTAGAATCCTGGAGGGTTCCCCTCTCTCCTACCCCCCCATCCCATGTCGCTGAGCCACTTACTTGAATCCAGTGCTGGGTCAGGCTCCACCCATGCTCCTCGGCTGACGTCAGCGGAGGAGACCTAATGCACATGTGCTGCAATGCATTCCTATGGGTAAAATCTGATGCTGGAGGTCCGTGAGGACGTCCAGCATCCGATAACAGACCAAAAGTCCGTTTTGAATTCTGGAAGTGCCCCCTATTGGCTTTCTGGTAGACAGGCACAGAGGGCAGACTTAGAGCTGCAATGTAAACATGTAAATGGTGTATTTGGGATCATATGAGAGTTGGTAAAGCAGTTGGTTGTGGTTATTGAAGTTTAAATATTTTTAGTGTTGGAGGGGTTAAAGAATAGCTTCTAAAGTTTAAGGAGATCCCTTAGTGATTAAAAGGTAGAATTAGTGGAACAATATGTTTGGGCTGTGGTATAGGAATGAATCACTGATCCCAAGAGGTTTTGGTGCACTGTTGCTATGACAACATTTAAATATTTCCATACTAAGACTGCTTTCCACACTTGGCAAAAAAACTGCCCACTCCAACAATACTTTTTTTTTTAAAAAAAGTTTTAATTTTTTTTAGAGAATAATTACAATCAATTACTGTCTGCAGCTGATTTGTGTTTTGGGTTTTTTTTTTTCATTTTTGTGTCTTTAAACTAGAGAGTGTGAAATACTTTTTGTTTTTCATGGGTTAAGCAGAAATTCCATCATACACTCTTCCTTAAAATACGGACCCCCTAATAATAGAAATAAAGAAGTTAAAATAAATGCTCAAAAAGGTAGTACTTTACGACTTCAGAACAGAAATGTGTTTTAAAGTCCTGCAAAATTAGTGCCCATTAATTATGGAATGTTATTGCCCTATTCAATAACACAAGGGTGGTGGTGGTTTTTTTTTTTTTTGTATATAATTTTTGCTTTGCTTGTGGGTTTTTTTTTTTTTTTGTTTGGATACTTTAAACTTAAAGGACCACTCTAGGCACCCAGACCACTTCAGCTTAATGAAGTGGTCTGGGTGCCAGGTCCAGCTAGGGTTAACCCATTTTTTCATAAACATAGCAGTTTCAGAGAAACTGTTTATGAATGGGTTAAGCCTTCCCCCTAATCCTCTAGTGGCTGTCTCATTGACAGCCACTAGAGGCGCTTGCGTGCTTCTCACTGTGATTTTCACAGTGAGAGCACGCAAGCGTCCATAGGAAAGCATTATGAATGCTTTCCTATGTGACTGGCTGAATGCGCGCGCAGCTCTTGCCGCGCGTGCGCATTCATCCCAGGAGGAGGAACGGAGGAGGAGAGCTCCCCGCCCAGCGCTGGAAAAAGGCAAGTTTTTACCCCTTTCCCCTTTCCAGAGCCGGGCGGGAGGGGGACCCTGAGGGTGGGGGCACCCTCAGGGCACTATAGTGCCAGGAAAACGAGTATGTTTTCCTGGCACTATAGTGGTCCTTTAATGTTTTTTCTTCATTGAAAATGAATGTAGTTGTAATGTTTTTCAGTATGATTTGAGTGTCCACACTGCACACATACCCACAAAAAATACTATGTTAACATTCTAATTTTAAACAGTTCTGCTTTTAAGGTATGAGTGAGCAAGTAAGGTACTTTAATGACATTAAAGATGCACTGTAACATGGGGTTTCTTCACAAAGACAAGATTTTGAGAAATTCTAACTCAATCTTAAAATTTACATGCAGCACAGTAGAAACAACTTTTTCACATGTAGCAACCACATCCTGCCATTTCCTTTTATCCATCTGTCAAAGCTTATTGGACACAGTATCCACTTGCATATCTTCAATATGAAGATTTTTTTTTAAATCTTGTGCATGAACAAGAGTAAGTAGTGATGGCTGCTCTTGGCAGGGAAAGGTCCAGGAGATGAAGAAAGAAGATGGAGCAGTAGTTCAGGTAAGTATATCTTGCTTTGCCTTCTCCATCCTAACACTACCTTCTAAACAGAAATGTCACATTGGTTAGTCTTTACAAAAACTGAAAAGACTTCAAAAGTGAGTGCTGCTGTAAAGGGTCACTCACACAGTAACAACTTTACATCAAAGGTTTTGAAGGCCATTAGCGCCCTGCATCCACTCTCTTTTCTGAGAGTTGCTTCTAATTGAAGTGACTTGTAAATATTGCCAAAGCTACAGGCCAGCCTACTGGCTCTGATGGAGCAAAAAGTTTCTATTTCCTCCTTTACTTTGTCAGTTTCATCTAACTTGTGCATATGCCATGTCCAGGTCTGTTTCAACAGCATCCTCTGGATCGCCTGAAGCCAGCTATCCTTGGATTGTTTGAGACATGAATTTGTCTGCATACTTCCTAGTCACCCCTTTCATTACTCTGAGTGGCCGGTGCAGTTTCCCAAGTGGTCAGCCTATGGTTGACTGTTGCCATTTAGGTGACCACACATTATGCTTCTAACACTGCAAAGTGGTTCATGCAGACTATACCTTTAAAGGGAACTTTTCATCACATAATCAACTTTAGCTCTTTTAAAAGAGCTTAAAGTGTCATGAAACATTGTGCTAGTTGCTAGTAAATGTATAGATTAGTAAAAAAAAAATATATAAATATAAATATATATATATTTATATTTACAAATATTTTTTATTTTTTCCTCTCCCATCTGTCTGTCTTTTCCTTGTTGGCAGACACTGAATGTCAAGGAATTGAGGCAAGGAGAGCAGAAGAGACCTGTAAGTCCACCTGTAGTAACCACAGGGTATGGACAGTGGTTGCTATAGGAATTCCCTAGCCAGTCCTGCTAGTATTGGCTAGGGAGTATAGGAACGGACTGATGTCACTTCATTCAGACGCTGGCAGCCGAGCCAGCCTGTGGGCGTTATGGACCAGGTTTGGCCTACTTACAGAAGTTTCCCAAAGCAGGGCAAAGAAACGGAGGAGGAGTGTGGGTGCTCTCTTAAGTGGCTGTTACAGAAGTGTAAAACCCACCTCTTTAATGAGATGCAGCATGGGAGCGGGGACCAAGTTAGTAGTACAGATTGCCTTCAAATAAGGGGTGCTGAACTTTTTTGAATTTGGGAAATTAAGTTTGCAAACCTCTGCAGTACCATGGTTGTCCATCAGTGCACAAGGATAGATATATATATATATATATATATATATATATATATATATATATATATATATATATATATATATATATATATATATATATATATATATATACACACATACACACGGAAATGTACAAGATATCAGAGACGTACAGCCTTTAACAGAGGATGCATATTACCAAAACTTCCTATCCTGCCAGTCAAACAGCCGTCAACATGGAAAATTATGGAATGTATGATCTGTGAGTAAACACATGTAAATAAGGCATAGTGTGTTGCTGTAAGCATTGAAGAAAAAAAAGTGTTATGAGTACATGCAATATTATAACCCCCAACAGTCTCACTCTAGTCCTCCATACTGTGCATGTGATGATTGTGTGTAATGTGTGTGTACACATGCTCATTTCGCATAGGCCACAATGCCTCGAATGTGGAGAAGCTCAATTAAGGTATCTCCAGAGTCGCCTCCTTAAAGGGACTCTCCAGTGCCAGGAAAACAATCCGATTTCCTGGCACTGCAGGTCCCACTCTCCCTCCCACCACCCATCCCCGGTTGCGCATTAGAGCTCTCCATAGGAAGGCTTTGAAAATGCTTTCCTATGGGGAATTGAGCAACGCTCGAGGTCCTCACATAGGGTGAGGACGTCCAGCGACGCTCTAGCACCTGTGCTATGAAGCAGGAAGTGCCCTCTAGTGGCTGTCTTGTAGACAGCCACTAGAGGAGGAGTTATCATTCAAGGTAATTATTGAGGTTTATAAAAACAGCAATAATTACAGTTGCAGGGTTAAGGGTAGTGGGAGTTGGCACCCAGTCCACTCCAATGGGCAGAAGTGGTCTGGGTGCCTGGAGTGTCCCTTTAACAAGCATAATGCTTGATTGCGGTTATATGAGCAAACAGGCTGGGGATATCCCCTGATTTTCTGTGCCAGACGTGGGAGCCCTTGCAGCATACCTCTGGTCTGCTTGACATTCAGTCTCCGCCCCGTGCGATAGCTACTTTATGCATGATAAGGGCTTACTTGGGGCCATGTGGGGGGAGCTCGTGTTGTCCGCATCAAAGTTATCACCCGCGATCTCCTCCAATCTATTGTTTCTCATTAAAAAGCAATGGGTTGGAACAAGGCATGCACAGCCAAATGTAGTGCTCCTCCAATCAAATACTGCAATGAGCAACATCTGATTCACAGATAATTGACTTGGTTTGAATGAGGAAGCACCTTCAGTGCCCATCAAGAAGACATCTATTAGAGGGTGGGTTTAACCCCTTAAGAACTGAGCCAAATGTACACGTTTTCAAAATAAAACGTAAACAAAACTTGGAATTTGACTCAACCGTAATTCATCTTTTATATTAAGTGCACCCACACTTATTATAGATCATTTTATTCAGAAGAAATAGGACTTTCATTTAACATCAAATATGTAGCTATGAAACATATTTTAATATGAATAAAAAAAAATTGAAAAATGAAGACATTTTATTTTTTTAGTTCTGCGTTACATTTTAACTGTGAATGTCATAAGACTGTTTGTTTTTACTGCAATAAAATACACAGGTTTTGATTCAGCGATGTCTCACGTGTAAAACCGTACCCCTTGTGTACAGGTTCTACAGTGTTTTGAGAAGTTACAGGGTCAAATATAGCATGTTACATTTTTCTGTTTTTTTCACATTGAAATTCGCAAGATTGGTTACGTTGCTTTTGAGACCGTATGGTAGCTCAGGAATGAGAATTACCTCCATGATGGCATACCATTTCCAATAGTAGACAACCAAGGTAGTGCAAATTGGGTATGTCCAGTCTTTTTTAGTAGCCACTTAGTCACAAACACTGGCCAAAGTTAGCGCTGATATTTGTGTGTGAAAAATGCAAAAAACAAATTTGAACGCAAAGTTTGCTTTGGGACTAAAGCCCCAGATGTGCGACTCTTAAGCCCTGTAAAGCGGCACTGTCACACTGAACTTGCCTTTCTCCTATGGTTTCCTCTTCTCTTCCTCTCTCAGAACCTGTTCTTCTTCTTTTCTTGATTTCTGATTCTTTGACCAAAGGAGGAGCTTAACTCAGCTCCATTTCCTGTGTCAGAGAAAGTACTCAACCTCCTTCTTGACACAGGAACTGAAGTTGACTTAAGCTCCTCCTTTGGTCAAAGAAAGTCAAGCGTCAAAGCTTTTCCATCTAGGGTATATCTACTAAACTGATTTTATTTTGTATTTGGGCAGTGGAATCTTAAATGTGAAATTCACTTGAGTAACCTTGCAAGTTTTATTTTACTGCAGTTAAAACTGTTAGTCTTTGGGGTTACGTCAGTTTTGTACTGGATTCTGTGATTTAAAAATAATAATAATTATTTACCATATCGGCATAATTGCTCAAGCTCTGCTATTTTGGATATGTTTAAGCCAATTTTCAAGTCTCTCTGCAGATTCTGTTGCCCTGGGGGTCAGGAAATGTCTTCGGGAGGATACTTACTGCAATATTTATTTGTAATTTGAATCGACATTTTATAGTATTTTCAAACATGGACATCTCCTTTTCCATAAGGGTATCTGCAAGCCTGTATCTGCTCTTCTCCTGCACTAATCCTTCAACTATTTCAGTGGCCTTTTTAGCATCACACCCTACTTGGCCCTGTCATGTTTGACTTGCCTGCTCACGTTCCTATGGAACCAAATGCTTCTGCTGTGTTACATGTCTTTGTTTTAAATCCCCCTTTTCAAGATTGAACATTTGCTTGTTTTCAAGATTCCAGCGCCTTTTCATTTTCAACAAAGTCCAACTGTCTCTTGTCTATCTAAGCAGACCTGTTTTACTGAATTAATTCAGGGAAAATCATTCAGCAAGCTTTGTTAGAGTGTGTAGAATATCTGCTTAATTTCAATGCAAACATTACAAACATTACAGATATCCAGGCCAAGCCCCAGTGCATGTTACTTCTCAGAAAATTTGGCTTAAATGCACAGGGGAGATTATAGGTTAGGACAGAATTAAAGTTCTGGGGTTTTAAATAACTATTTTTAAAATTGTCCCTTGTGTTCTGCGTGATATAGATATACGTTAATGGTTTTGCGCACACAATATCAAATGTTGAGTATATCGATAGTTCTTGCTAATATTAGAAATGTTTTTTTTTTTCCCTTAGTTTCCGTTCTCTATAGTTCGCATAGAGGTTGGATGACTGAGAATCTTGTTGATTTAAATTAAAGGGACACTCCAAGTACCAGCACAACTACATGTTTTTGTAATGGTTTTGGTTCATAAATACTTATTCGTTTCTCAGACAGTGTCAGACACTGTCGCTTGAGCCACTTAATTTTCACAGGTCTTCATGTTCATCTACTGATCAATTCCCAGGTTACTTAGTAACCCCACCACTCTATCCATAGCTGAGATCATCATTATTGATTAAATAAGCCAATGTGATGATTCTACAAAGAGAACCTTCATGGAGCCTACTGTGCGTGCACAACAATTGCAGCAAGTCATCAATTTATCTCTATGGGGAGTGTTTGTGTCTTCATGCTGACGTTGGTCCTGCAATCCTTGGAAGCACCTCTAGTGGCTGTCAGAATGACAACAAATAGAGGCATCCTTAAAGGACCACTCTAGGCACCCAGACCACTTCAGCTTAATGAAGTGGTCTGGGTGCCAGGTCCAGCTAGGCTTAACCCATTCTTTTATAAACATAGCAGTTTCAGAGAAACTGCTATGTTTATCAATGGGTTAAGCCTTCCCCCAATTCCTCTAGTGGCAGTCTCATTGACAGCCGCTAGAGACGCTTGCGTGCTTCTCACTGTGAAAATCAGTGAGAGCACGCAAGCGTCCATAGGAAAGCATTGATAATGCTTTCCTATGTGACCGGCTGAATGCGCGCGCAGCTCTTGCCGCGCGTGCGCATTCAGCCGCATGGGAGGAGAAGAGCTCCCCGCCCAGCGCTGGAAAGAGGTAAGTTTTTACCCCTTTCCCCCTTCCAGAGCTGGGCGGGAGGGGGACCCTGAGGGTGGGGGCACCTTCAGGGCACTATAGTGCCAGGAAAATGAGTGTTTGTTTTCCTGGCACAATAGTGGTCCTTTAAGGGTAAATGTAAACACAGAAAAGGCAGTGTTTTTGGACCACAGGGTTCAGGAACAGGCTTTTTGCAACAAAAACACTACGTTAAATGGACACTCTAAGCACCAAAAATATTTCTGATTAATGAAATAATAATTTCGACTTTTATCAGGAATAATTTGGACTTTTATGTGTAGGCAGACTCGGCCACGGGAGGTGTGGCTACGTAAACAAATGGATTTGGTCCTTTAGATTTTAAGCTCACAGGCTATCTAACTAACCACTTTAAATAAAAGAGCTTCAATGGCTTGATGTCAGCTGAAGGGCAGGGCCTCTCTAGCGTTTGTATTTATCTGTGTATATTGTACGTCCTCCACTAATTGTACAACGCTTTATAAATACCAGTATTAAATAAATAAATCCTAAATGGCATAGATTTGATCAGCGAGACTGCAGACGCATGACTTGTACACCAAGACCACTTCATTAAGATAAAGCTGTTTTGGTGCTTAGTGTTCCTTTAAGCTGTAGTTGTTCTTGTGCTTAGACTGCTTTTTAACTCCCAAAGTGCCAACATCTGTTTTTTTAATAAATTCTTTATTTTGAATTTTAGATAGTGTACGTTTTCGGGGTGGGGGTACAGAAAGAAAGTAGGGGGATGTTGTTCGTGGTACAGGCATGCATCACATTCAGGTATTGTACACAATGTATTGACTGTCCACGTGCAAGTGGAAGTTGTTCAGTAACATCTTTAGCATATTTACATGTCCAGTGTTCTCTTTCGCTCTCGTGACAGTTTGCAATCCTGTTTCTTCTAGGGTTTGAGGTGGGGTACAGAAGTGAAAGAGATGGGGGAAGGAGTGCCCTCCCGTAGCGGTCTGTTGCTTATATTTTGAGGTATTTCTGTGGCTTGGTCCTGTCTTGTGGTCTGTATGTCCTGTACCTCTTAGTTGTGGGCATTGAGTTTTGGGTAATTTGCGGCTTTGGTCTTTTCTCGTCTGTTTAGTTTGGTGTGGGGAATAATGGTGAGGGTCGGGGGTCAGCGTGTGTTGTCCTGAGTTTCCTTTAGGATTTTTCCCCTATGTTGTTGAGGTGGGTGTGTTGGTGATGTTGGGTTCTCTTGTTGTCGTTGGTCTTAGGTGCATATGTTTGTGGTGATTTTTGCGTGGTCCTAGTGTCGGATGGCCGTGTGGATCTGGAAGGGGGCAAGAGAGAGGGGGAAAAAAAAAAGGGGTGGGGGGTGTTTTCGGGTTGGTAGGGTACCCTGATGGGGGGCTTCATGTGCCCTGGTTCGAGGCGTGATGGGTGTGTGGTTTGCTCAGTGTGTGCGGGGGGGGAGGTTCGGGTATTCGTAGAACCATGGGTCCCAGATTTTGTGGTAGTGTTTGGTGGTATCGTGTAGTAATGCGGACAGTTCGTCCACTTTAATTGCGTCTGTTATTTTTCGTCTGATTGCCTCCATGGTCGGTGTTTCATTGCTACCCCATTTTTCGGCTATCGCCCGTCTGGCTGCTAGTGTCAGTTTGTTTTGGGCTCTGGGTATGTCAGCGTATGGTTTCGATAGCAGCCAGATCCAGGGGTTTAGCGGAATATCTGTGTGTAGGATTCTGGAGACCATGGTTGCTACTTGTTGCCAGATTTGTTTGATTGGGGGGCATTCCCACCATTGGTGGAGGTAGGTTCCTTTATGGCCGCATACCTTCCAGCATAAGTCTGTATCTGACCTGCCCATCTGTTTAAGCTTGAGGGGGGTGATGTACCATCTCATGAGTGTTTTGTAGGCCTGTTCCTTATGATTTACGCAGATGGAGATCGTTGCTGTGGCCTCCCATATATCTGCCCAGTCTGTTGGGTCCTCTGCCAGACCTAGGTCCCTCTCCCAAGCCGACATTTTTGACGTTTTGAATAATGCGTGTGTAAAGTGCTGAGATTTGTCCCTTTTGAATTGGGGCTTGCATGCATTGTTTCTCGAAGGTGGTAAGTGCCGTTGTAGCCGCTTTTGTATATTCCGGTGTTGCTAGGAAGCTTCTGATCTGTATGTGCCTGAATAGGTCAAATGTTTGGAATGGTGTCGTTTGCTGTAGTTCGGAGAATGGGGTAATGTGCTGGCCCTGGAAGAAGTGGTATAGGCGTGTGAGGTTGTTGTCTTCGTAGCGCGTGAAGTCTTTGGGTGTCATGCCTGGGGGGAATTTCGTGTTGCGGAGTATTGGGGTGAGGTGGGACAGGGGTGCGATGAGGCCACTTTTGTGTGTAACTTTGTCCCAAATTTTGATTGTGTTGGTCAGTGCTGGGGTAGTCTGTGGCATAGAGGGTCTGGCTTGTTTTGGTAGCCATATGTAGAGGGATGGGTGATCTCTACCGAATATGTCGTGCTCAAGGTCTACCCATCGCTTAACTCCGTAAGGGGCGTGCAGGTGTTGGGCTTGCGTTACTTGCGCTGCTTGGTAGTAATGAATAAGGTGAGGGAGGCAGAGGCCTCCCGCCCTGTTCGGTACGTATAGGGTTTGCCTTTTTATACTTGTGCGTCGATTGGACCATATGAACTTGTCTATTCGTGACTGTAGCTGTTTGAAGTATGGAGTGGGATTGGGAGAGCTTGAAATAAGTATAGCAGTCTGGGTAGGAGGTTCATTTTTACCGAGGCCAGTCTACCTAGCCAGGATATCGACATGTTCTGCCATGTGGCGAGGTCGTGTGTGATTTTTTTATTTTTTTTTTATTTTTTTTTTGTATGATTGGGGTGTAGTTCTTGGAGTATATTTGGGTGAGGTCTGTTGTTAAGGTAATGCCCAAGTATTGTATTTGGTTAGAGTTTAGCTTAAAGGGGTATGTCTTCTGTAGGTGCGCCAACGTGGGGGGTCTATATGTATGGGTAGGGCTTCTGTTTTATCAATATTGAGTTTGTATCCGGATATTGCTGGATATTGCTCTAGGGCTTGAATAAGTGGTGGTAAGGAGGCTGTTGGGTCGGTGATGGTGACGAGCAAGTCGTCTGCGTATGCTGCGGTCTTGTATTCTTCTTCACGGATTTTGAAGCCTTTTATGGCTGCATTTCATCTGAGGTTCTGTAGAAGCGGTTCTAAAGATAGGGCAAATAATATTGGAGATAGGGGACATCCCTGACGTGTTCCATTGTGTATGGTGAACATGGGTGGTTGTGTGAGGGGCAATAGGAGACTGGCCCTCGGCAAGGCATATAGTGTTTGTAGAGTTTCTAGGAAGCCTGTGGGGAATCTGAATTTGTGGAGGGTTGCGAATAGGTATGGCCAGAGCACCCTATCGAAGGCCTTTTCTGCATCAAGTGATAGTATTAGGGTGGGGATCCGTTTTGACGTTGCGGCCCAGATGAGGCCGTATGTTCTTCTGGTGTTGTCGCTGGCCTGTCTTGTGGGGATAAAACCTACTTGGTCAGGATGGATGAGTTGAGGTAGGTAGGGGCATATCCGATCTGCCATGAGTTTGGTGAATAATTTTATGTCTACGTTAAGTAGGGAGATGGGCCTGTAGTGTCCCGGATCTAAGTGTGTTTTATTGGGTTTGGGAAGGAGGCAGACTGTGGCCTGGAGCATTTCCTGTGGTAGTGGGTTGCCTTGTAGGATGGCGTTATATAGGTTGCATAGGTGGGGGCGAACGTTTTATAGTACAATCCTGTGAACCTGTCCGGGCCTGGGCTTTTATTTGGTTTGAGCGATTTCATGGTGCCCGCGAGCAACATCTGTTTTTTGATGCAAGTTATTGTGATTACTAACAATAGTTCTGTGAACTTACAGGGATACTATAGTTCTAGGAAAACAAACCTGTTTTATGGCATTATAGGCTCTTACGGGGCCCCCCCTCCCTCGGTGCTGAAGGGGTAAAAACCCCTTCAGCCACTTACCTTAATCCTGTGCCGGGCTCCCTCAGCGCCAGTGACCTCTCCTCCCCTGCCGACATCAGGGGGAGGAGAGCCAAATGCGCATGCGCGGCCAGAGGCATGTGCGCGCATTCAAACCCGCGCGCAGAACACGGGTGTGACAATAGCTGCACTTGCACCAAAGTTCCCCAGTGATTCTCATGAGAAGTATTGGATTAGACCAAGATCATCACTTGTGATGACTTCAGAAGAGGAGAAGAAGCTGGCTGTCAGTCTGTCTGTGTTTGTGAAACCTGTGAATGAAATTGTGTGTTTTTATTTTTTATTATTATTATTATTACTATACAAGGGAGGGCCCTTAATCTAAAGAGAAATAAAACACACAAGTTTATTTTTTATCTTTGAATGTTCCTTTTAGAATGATTTATCTACTGTAATGCATTTGTCAGTACTGATGGTTTTTGTGAAGAAATGTGCTGAAAACTGTATACTATTTTAATTTGCTATTTATCCAAAGTGCAGACTTTTTGTCGTGAGGTTCAAGGACGCGATTGTGTATAGTCTTTTCTCTGCTTTTCAAAAGAAGTAAAACACATTTAAACTTAATATTGTTTTAAAAGGTTTTTGGCATAAACATGTGCTGTTAAATTGCTCGTTAATGTAATTAACAAATATATATAACCTTAAATTTGATCTTTCTGTGAACTGCAATTTCTTGTTCTACTCTAGCATCCACATTAATGCTTTGGTTCATTAATCAGTCTGACAGAGGCAGAAAAACAATATGGGATACTGTTTCAGTTGTGATGAGTAAATGTCAATGATTTTTGCTGCCTTTGGACAGTGAGTGGCTAAATTAAGCAATTCCATGCATGGGCCATCTGTAATGCAAGTGCGATCTTGAGATACTGTTGATGAAGAGCTGGTATTTTTTTTTTTTTTTTTTTTACCAAGTCTGGTTTAAGTTTAACATAGAGATTGTAACTTTTTTATTTTTAATATATTCGCAAAGATGTCAAGAGCAGCCATCAAACTGCAACAACTAAGCCTTTATTTGCTTAGTATTATAACTGTTAAAGGTAGACGTCGAGCATTATAAAATTTGCTCTCCGCATAACTTTATAGTTTTGCTGGTCTGGATCTCTCATGTCTTCTATTCCAAAACTGACAGGAGACACATGGACAGGGCAAAAAGGTTAATGGAACACTATAGGATCAGGAACACAAACATGTATTCCTGACCCTATAATGTTAAACTATTTAGCCCTCCTGGTCCCCTTTAAAGCTAGTAAAAACTCCACTTATTTCTAGCACTGCGCAGGTCCACCAGCGCTGTCTTTGCCCCCCGTTTTGCCTCTTTGACTAGCATAATCCGAATCCCATAGGAAAGCATTGGATTGGCTGAGATGGCCAATTATGATGATCTCAGCCAAGTAGGCAGGCTGGGGGCGGAGCCAAACTCTGCCCTGGCCAATCAACATCTCCTGCATTGATTCAATGCATCTCTATAACAACGTGGAGACGCTGAACTTCATGGCAGCACTGCCCCAAGAAGCACCTCTAGTAGCCATCCCTTTAACCTTGACTCAGGAAGGTTCTAAGCATGCTAGTTACATACTAACCTGTATTTCCAATACTATAATGTTCCTATTTTGATTAAAGGCTGAAATGTAATTTAAAAAGGAAAAAGTTTCTTACCTACCCTTTTCCAGCTCAGAGACTTCACTCGGTGCTGCCGTCTGTTTCTTCTCCCGTGATGTCACTCATCAGGCATCGCCTACATTGTGTCTTGTCCAGCCCAATGATTTTCATAGAAAATGTGCATGGTCAGCAAGTGCTGTTCATCCACTGAAATGTTTCTCATAGGGAAGCATCCAATCCAATGCTTTCATAAGAGTGGCATTTGTTGACATTCAACATCCTCATGCAGTGTATGAGGATATCAAACTCTTTTTTTGCATTTGTCCTGGGTTACATGGACCAAGCAGCCAGCCAAATACAGTTAGAATAAAATTTCATATAGATAGATCATTTTTAATATTTTTACATTTTTTATTTAATTTACTTATTTGTATTTTATTATTATATATTATATATATATGTGTAATTTAATTATAAGTGTATTTTTATATTAATATATATATATTAATATAAAAATACACTTAGTGTGACTATAATTATAGACATATATTATAATATGTCTATATATCATATTTATATACATATTTTTTTATTAGCAGTTACATTAATTATTATTTTTTTATTTTAGACTAGCAGGGAGACTGCCTGTCAGCACAGGCAGTCCCCCTGCAGGCAGACACATGGACACCTTTTGTGACCATGTGATTGCTCTGTTGAGCGATCACATGGCCCCAGGGGTCCGAATCCGCCATGGGGAGACTGCCTGGGCTGCAGGCAGTGTTCCCACACCGGGAGCAACGCCTATCGCCGCCGGGGGAACGGCGGCGATCGGGTAAGTACATCTGACCGTTGTGACGGTTCAGGACCGGCAGCGGTCGGCAACGCAAAAATGCCGATGCCGGTCCTGAACAGTCACCGGTCCTTAAGGGGTTAAATAAAAAAAAAAAACAATTGCGTGAGCAATTGATGGCCCATTCACCGGATACACCCCGATATATAAAGAGCTTACCAACACATCAGATCTTTAGCTTGAGTGACCTACTTCAGTGTTGGAATAAACCGTGCCCTATCAGCATGCATCCTCAGCACATTTTTGGGATGATGAGTCAGACTGTCCTTGTCCAACCTGCTTCTGTCAACTATTACCATTATCCTCAACATTCCCCTGCTCTGCCTTAGTGTGATGATAGTAGAGGAGGTGCTGTTGCTGCTGCTCTCCCTTTTAAAATGCCTTTTATTGTTTGTTTCACCCTGCCTTATGTTAAAAAAGTAGTTGCTACTAGTTGGATTTCGTACTACTGTAATGTTACTGTAACATGCACTAAACCTAAACCAGTGACTCAAAGTTAGTGTAAGGGGCAGTGGCTAGGGGCGCAGCAATAACCTAACAACCTCACCAGTCTAACACTAGAATCTGTGAGAGCCCATCTCCTATGCTAACACAGATCCACCAATACCATTGTACAGCGCTGTGGAATTTGTTGGTGCTTTAGAAATGGTAATAATAGTGAAATACACAATCGCTGCTGGTCTGCCTCCCTGAATAGCTGAATTTAAAACCTCTTGAAGAATTCTGCTTGAAAATATAGATTTATATATAAATATATAAAAAAAAATTCTGCTCCTCCTTTTTCCCCTATGCTGGTCACTTCTCACTTGGTCTGTAAATAAAATAAACATTTAGTGACTGTGCTAGCCATTAAACATCATATTGGGGGAAAGTTATCAAGGCCAAACAGGTTGTATTTTAGATGCAAAGTGCTAAGTTTCCATGGAGATTGCTCCTTCTTTAGCACTTTGTCCAAGAATACCACCTGTTTTTGCCTTGATAAAACACCCTCATGGTTTATTTATGGATCATAATCTTTTTAGCCCAGAGAGTTTGGAGTGTCCATGAAAATAGAGACACTTGGCATCAATAGCAACTGTCTGACTAGATTGCAAACACGTGTGGGGAGAGATAAAAGAGGGGGGGTGGAGGGGAGCGTTTTAAATAATGCAGAATGTACAGTCTCCTTCGATTAAAGCCAGTCTGGCTGCTTACAACGAAATGTGACAATATTTACTGTCTATTATCACTTTGCTATTTTATAAACATCAGCCACAATGTTGGCCTCTGAAAGCATAATGAACCGCAAAAAGGAAAAGCATAAAATAAATTATTTATTTTATTATTTATTTATAAAATATTTTACCAGGAAGGATACATTGAGATTTCTCTTGTTTTCAAGTGTCCTGAGTCCACAAAACATTGCATTGATACAATAGGGTACAATAAAATACAAAAACAACATTAATACACAATATATACAAAATTTAACATAGAACAGGTAGGAAATATATAATCAACCATGACACGTGCATTCTGTTTTGAGATATGTAAAGCGGGATATCTTAAAGGATTTTAGGCCTGGGGAAGATTTGAAAGTGTGCGGGAGGTCGTTCCATAATTGTGGTGCTTTGTAGGAAAATGAGGATCAAGCTGCTTTCTTTTTGTATTGAGGTAGACTAAATAAAGTGCCGGTACTGGATTGGAGATAATAGGAGGTGGGAACATCCGGGGAGAGTATTCTGCTAAAGTAGGGTGGGAGCTTCCCAGAAAAGCTCTTAAACACAAGGCTGGAAAGAAGAAAGGTGAGTCTGGATTCCAGCGACAGCCAATTTAGTTCTTTTAGCATGTCACAATGGTAGGTCGTGTAATTACATTGTAGCACAAGGCGACAGAACTAGTTATACACTGTATTTAGTTTATTAAGGTGGGTTTGCGGAGCAGGTGCATATACTACATCCCCATAATCAATGATTGGCAGCATTTGCTGTACAATCTTTTCCTTTACCGTAGGGCATAGGCAGGATTTGTTTCTGTACAGGGCACCTACGTTTAGATAAGGTTTAGATGCAAGTTTTTCTATGTGGAGGCCAAAAGATAAATTTGGATCTAACGACATACTCAAGTATTTGAAAGTGTGGACTGCGGTCGGTGTACTATTTGAATTTGTTTTGATGCATAGATGGGAATTTTGTAATTTGTGTAATTTAGGTACTGTTCCAAATATCATTGTGACAGTTTTGTCAGTGTTTAGGAAGAGGTTTTTTTTTTTGTGATCCACTTTTCTACCTCTGTGAATTGGTCTTAGAGCACAGCCTCAAGCTGTGATAGATTGGATTTGCTTGCATAGATTACTATTGGAAATTCTCTTCTGAGATAATGCTGAAGATCTAGAGCTATTGGAATGTGATTGTAAGCATCCTTGAGATATATAGAGATAAGGAACTTATCCTTCCAAATTGCTTGAGATATGGATCTGATTGACTTCATCCCGAAGACTCTGACATTCAGCCTTTTGTTGGCCCTTCTTAGGTCTAGTATAGGCTTCCATGTGCCTTTTCTTTTAGCACCAGAAGAGAGGCGAATATTGTTCCTGGACTCGCTCTTGTTATGGGACCTAAGAAATAACCTCTTCGTCCAGAAGGTTTCTTACATATTCCTTCAGTGCTATACCTTTAGATTCATCTGTCTGAATTCTCTTGTTGGCATAGAGACTCCTGTGTCTAAAGAGAAAAAAAAACTCCAGTCTATATCCATCTGTACTATGGATACCACCCAAGTCTTCCGAATGTGACAAACCCAGGTATGTCTGATCAGAAAAAATAAGGCTCCTAGTACTGGAGGACAGACACATGTTTATTGCTGAAGAGCAAAAGTACTGCTTCATAGCTCTATTAGAACCTCGAAAGGCAGGTATACCAACTGCCATGAGTTACCTCTGGAGTATTCCCTGCATGGTCAGTAACTCCATGTATCTCAGAAATGCTGGTCACTGGAGGTTCTCCTGTCTGACCATGAGGAGCTGGGATTCTTGGATCTTCAGTCCTGAGACACAAATACCTTGCAGCCCTCAGCTGCCTTTTTAATGGATTCATCAAAAGCTTTCCCAAACAGCAGCTCCACTTCAAATAGAATGGCGTAGAGGGCAGACTTGGAGGATGAGTCTTCATCCCAGAAACAGAACCATAATGCTTTCCTAGCTGTTCTAGACAAAGCCATTTGTTCGAGAGAATATCCTAGTTACATCTAGGGAAGCTTCTGTGAAGAAATCCGTTGTGACCTGAAGACTTCAGACTGCCTCTTCAATCTTGGCTCTTAATATCTCTCTCCATAATAACCTTTAGATCTTTAACCCCTTAGTGACCATGGACGTATCTGGTACGTCCGACAAAAATGGTCTCCGCTCCAGCAGCTCTAATAGTATGGCAGTGATGCCTCGATGTTGAGGCATTGCTGCAATACCCCCCTCACTCCTGGCAGAGCATTGGAAGCTATCAGGCAGGTAGAGTACTGTACGGGGTCGAGGCAGTCCCCCTGCTGGTGGAAAAAGTTTAAATAAATAAAAGGTAATAAATTTAAAAAAGAATATACATGTATATAGAAGTGTGTGTGTGTATATGTAATCTCTATATATAAAATGTGTGTGTGTGTATATAACGTCATACTAAGTGTATTTTTTATTAATATATATATACGTGTGTGTGTATATATATCAAAATACACTTAGAATGAAATATATATGTATGTGTGTGTATGTATGTGTGTGTATATATATATATATATATATATATAATATATGTGTATGTATATGTATATATATCCACTTTAACGACTGTGGATGTACCATGTACATCCGATTTAAAAATAAATAAATAAATAAAAAAAATTAAGGAACACGGACTTACCTAGTACGACCGCGGCAAATAGGAGTGGTCGGGGGGACCAGCAGCTCTCGGCCCTTCACCATGATCACATAGCCGCAATAGGAGTCTAGGAGCTGCCAGCAGGGGGACTGTCTGAACTGTCAGACAGTCCCCCAGGCTGCTAAAAAAATACATATATACCGGTATGTATAATATATTATAAAATAATTAAAGCATTTTATAATATATTATACATATATGATTTCATTATAAGTGTATTTTGAGATATGTATATAATGAAATCATATATATGCATAGTATATTATAAAATGCTTTAAAGGACCACTATAGTGCAAGGAAAACATACTCGTTTTCCTGGCTCTATAGGGTCTTTGGGTCTCCCTCACCCTCGTGGCCCCCCACCGCCGGGCTGAAGGGGGAGAAAGGGGTTAAACACTTACCTTTCTCCAGTGCCGGGCTCTCCTCCTCATTTCCCGTCATCGGCTGAATGCGCATGAGCCGCGTGCGCAGTCAGTCAGTCTCATAGGAAAGCATTCTCAATGCTTTCTTATGGACGCTGGTGTCTTATCACTGTGAAAATCACAGTGGGAAGCGCATCTAGCGGCTGTCAATGAGACAGCCACTAGAGGCTCGATTAACCCTATTGTAAACATAGCAGTTTCTCTGAAAATATATATATATATATATATATATATATATATACATACATATACCCTGGTCCTTAACGGTAAGAAAATTGAAAAGCGGTCTAGTCACTAAGGGGTTAAAAGATTTTATCTACTGTTCTATATATTAAAGTAAGTTACATCTAAATGAAAGTGAAACCAACTTTTTTATGCAGGCTATGTCAGTCACAGCCAGGGGAAGTGTGGCTAGAGCAGCATGGACAGAAACAAGTGATTTAACTCCTAAATGGCAGTGAATTGAGCAGTGCTGATTACAGTGGCCCTTTAAAAGTCAGATGCTACTCCCGTGCATCAAAAGGTGATCCAGTCTTAGGGTCGACCAAGAGAGCAAAATATCCAGGTGATAGGCAGGAGGGAGTTGCACATAGCTCCCCACTCCTACCGGTCACTAACTGTTGAGTGGCCTCGTAGATTGGGGTAGAGGATTTTCTTTATCCTGTACCCAGTATGATAGGGAGCTGCTCGCTGTGACTGGCGGGGGCAGGTATTCAGCAGGAAATGGCTTCTTGTTAGATTGGGCAGAGGGCAAAGCTGATCTTCTACCGCAGTCTGCAAGGCCACGTTGCAGAGAGGGGTAAGCGAATCAAAGGGTGGGCAATAAGAGATACCAAAGTGGAGTTTAAAGGACATGTAAAAGGTGCATAGCAGACCACCCAAGGGGAGTTAAAGACTCAAAAGCCAGAATAAGAACAAAAAAAAGGGGGGATACAATATGAAAAAGGAAGAAAAGCGACACAAAAAGGGAGGTATGGTATATAAAAAAAAAAAAAATAAAAAAAAAATGGGGCTTAATAGTTACCCGGGCCTACACAAAGTTATTTTAAGGAGGACAAAAACATTTCTTGATATAAAAAAAACCTTGCACCAGCCTTGCGTGAGGATAATGATGGCTGAAAAAGTTCAACTACTTTCTGATTTCAGTGGAATTTATCATCATGGCATATTGCCTGCAAAACTGAAAGCGACCAAGGTATTTGATATTAATAATGTTAATATGGATTCCTTTTCCGTGTAATGCATTATAAACAATGAGTTCACTCCAGCCTAGACTGACCATTAAACAACCTTTCATATAGCTGTTGGCTCTGCTCATACCCAAGTATTGCTGATTCCTTACTGTCAAACAGCAAGATTTGCTCTGGTAATCCGTTTTAAATTTATATATATATCTGGGAATATAAATCAGGATTACAAGGACAGCTGTATATTTATTCTTTATTATAAACAATGATTATGTGAAAGACATTTTGTTGCTGGATTGAGAGAAGACAAGTCTGGAATAAAGATATTTCTAAAGCTAATCTATAAATCATGTTTTGAGATGCGTTTTTTTTTTTTTTGAGGCTTCCGAAGCTCTGCCTTCGTGCGGAGTGCCATGAGGGGTTGAGGCACTCAGTGAAGATAAATTAATTAAAAAAATAATAATAATTAAAAATTAAAAACCCCCTCCCCAGGACCTCGGACGACATAGTACCTCCGAGGTAATCCTATGTACTTACCTGATCACCGCCGTTCCCTCGCCGGCGATCGTGGTTTTCCAGACATTTCCTCCCTCTGCAAATTAGGCCCCCGGTCACATGGCCGCAATAGGCGTCCAGGCATCTGCCTGCAGGGGGACTGACTGAACTGTGTGTGTGTGTGTGTATGTGTGTGTGTGTGTGTGTATATATATATATATATATATATAAACGTGTGTGTTCCAATTGCTTGAACTCCAGGATAGGGAGTTGAGCCCAGTGCTTAACAGCCAAATAATAGAAATGTAGTAATGATAGCATTAGATAGATATAGATTCCCTCGCATCTCATCTGTACTCTGTCTTCTTCTTTCTCCACCTCTCACTAAAATTCTCAATCTCTCTCTCTCCTCTGGTATATTTCCATTGCCTTTCAAACATGCAACTGTAACCCCAATTCTAAAGAAGCCCAATCTTGACCCTAACTCCCCATCCAACTATCGTCCTATCTCACTACTGCCTTTTGCATCCAAGATCCTTGAAAAAATTGTGTATGCGAGATTGACAGACTTCCTCGAGTCCAACTCTCTGCTAGACCCGCTTCAGTCTGGTTTCCGCGATAAGCACTCTGTGGAAACGGCACTGACCAAAGTATCCAATGATATACTCGCTGCAAAATCTCGTGGTCACTACTCTATCCTAATTCTACTGGACCTGTCTGCGGGGCTTGACACTGTTGACCATCAACAGCTTCTTCTCATCCTCCGCAATATCGGTCTACAAGATATTGCTCTCTCCTGGTGCTCCTCCTACGTCTCCCAGCGCTCTTTCAGTGTTTCTTTCTCTGGCTCTGCTTCTTCTCCCCAACTCCTCTCTGTTGGTGTCCCCCAAGGTTCAGTCCTTGGTCCCCTACTGTTCTCCATCTATACTGCCTCCCTTGGTAAACTCATTAGCTCCTTTGGCTTCCAATATCATTTCTATGCAGATGACACGCAAATCTATCTGTCCTCTTCTGATCTCTCCCCGTCCCTCTTGACTAGTGTCTCTGACTGCCTCTCTGCTGTTTCTAACTGGATGGCTGCCCACTTCCTTAAAGTAAACTTGACCAAAACTGAAATTCTGGTCTTTCCTCCCTCAAGTGTTGTTACTCCTGTGTCTGTCTCCCTCCAAGTTAGCGGTGCTACCATCAGCTCCACCACTTAGGCTCGCTGCCTAGGTGTTTTCTCATACTCCGACCTCTCCTTCAAGCCTCATGTTCAATCTATCGCCAAATCCTGTCATTTCCATCTCAAAAACATTGCGCGCATCCGCCCCTACTTTACGCCAGATGCGACTAAGGTGTTGGTCATCTTTTATTGTGCCAATCATCTTTTAATACTCCTTATATATATTTTATTATTTTTCTACCTGGCATTTTATCTTTCTGGACTCCAAGTAATCCTGAGGTGGGGATCATACCACCAACGCTGTCGGCAAGGAGCAGTTTGCCTGCTCCACTCTTGTGAGTACCTTTTTATGTATTTTATTTATACTATTTTATCCAGTGAGCACTATTGGTCGTCTTTTTATTTTATTTGAGTGTGGAACATGCCCTTGGAAGAAGAAGCCTGCACCATATCCTATAAGCGGGGATCATACCGCTGTACGCCTTTTATACTAGAGCTAGCTATAGCTCTAATACAGGTGAGTGCATTACCTATCTTCTTTTTATTTCTTGTACCATATTGGACGTACTACACTATTTGGTTCTTGTATCTGTTTTATCGTTTCATAATATTGGAACCCCCTGGGGAAGGACAGCGATGACATTGTTCCTGAACAAGCACTTTATAGACTATTTGATCTAAAGAAGATCCTTTCAGCTAAGACTTTTAAATACATATTTATATTTTTATTTGTCTATTTTGGCGCAACCTTTATCTTTGTTTGTTTTTTAAGCTGAAGCTCTGTTTGGACATAGAGATGACGATGAGGAGGAATCCAGTTTTGAAGTATTTTAACTCTTGTGTGTTAGCTTGGTTGCTGATTCAGTTAAGGTTTTTGTACTTTTAAAGTTATTGTTGATACCACATTGTTTTTATTGACCCTCTCTTCCGCTTACAGAGCTAGTTTACTGTTTTTCTTTGAAATATTCAAAAATCTTTAACCTGCTGATGTCTCATTTAATGTAATTTTATTGGTATCTATTTTTATTTTTGAAATTTACCAGTAACGGATGCATTTCTCACCCTAGGCTTATACTCGAGTCAATAGGTTTTCCCAGTTTTTTGTGGTAAAATTAGGTGCCTTGTCTTATATTTGGGTCGGTTTATACTCTAGTATATACGGTAATTTTTTTTAAATTTTATTTTTCTTTCCCCCCCATTCAGGTTTTATTATGGGAAAATTCACAGACCACGTGTGTCCCACTACTGCAAACATCCTGAGTTTGTATTTTGCCGTCATTCCTGGGTAGAATGATAATCCACATGTATACCTTTTGTCTTAATCCTGCCTATAATCCAACCATAACCCTACCTATAATTCTATTCCTAATCTCACCTTTCAAGGGATTCTTTCTGCTGACGTCCTAGCCCACTGAGCCCTCTGTACAGTGTAGTTGCAGCATGAGAGGGAGTTCCAACTGTCATGCTGCAGCACACAGAGATTGGTGCTGGGCAGCTGACAGAGCCCAGCACCGATCCTGTTGCAGGGGACATGCAGGGAGGCCCTCTTGGGGAGATAGTGCCAGGCTGGGGAAACTTAGAACATTTTTAAAATTACAGGTGTCATAGCCCTCCTGTCAGTCTGACAGAGTGGACCCTCAGGTAATCGCGGCAAGCCTTTGAATGAATGGGCAACAAATACCACAGAAAAGTCTTCCCACAAGAGTGGGACCTGTTGTTGTTGGTTTTTCTTTTTTGTAATGCTCTAGAGAAATTTCAGACCAGGATGCCCTTCACACCCTGTCATTCTGGCTTTGTTTTAGATAACAACCTGGGCATCTTTATGGCTATTTTGAAAGATAACATGGCTTACAGTTCTTCCATTTAATGTGCGCACCCACCCTGTGTGTTCAGACAAGCTGATAAAACATATAGTTTCCCAACGGCATAGAAAGATTGTTCGGGAACAGCAAAACACAGTAAATACAGATTGTGCCAGAATTCACAAAGATATGAAGAAAAATTGCCTGTTATCTGCCAAGTCATTGAGATGCTCCTGAGAACAGCTGGCTTACTGCAGCTTCCCAGCTGATGGTATAATGTTTTTGCTATTTTGGAAAGAAAGTCTTGCTTTAATTCTTGGGACAAACACTGCTCTTTTTATTAGCACTTATTTAGAACTGATTACTGTATTTCCCCCATAATTAAAAGGTGAAAGAAAAAAACATAATAAAATAAATCCTATCCATCTCATTAATTTGTAAACTCCCCATTCATCCCTTCATTGTACTCTTACTTTTCTTCCCTTTTTCAATCAACACGTGTGGAAGGCAAGGTGAATGTAAATCAATTGGGTGGGGGGATGAGGTCAGTGGCATACCTAACACAGTCACAGGGGTCCCGCCCCCCACAGTCCCAGGGAGCCCGTCTGCAGCTGCAAACGTGGGCCACCTGCATGCCTTTTTGGGCCAGTGCATAGCCGCACCAGCCCGGGTCTGTGGTTCCCAGGTGTCTGGCAGAAGGGGAGAGCTAAGCTGCTCTCCTCCTGCCTGTGTGTAGCGTGGTCGAGTGGTCTGACAGGAAGTGCTCATTGTGAGAGCACTTCCTGTCAGACCGGGAACCGCAGTGAGACATGCTGGTACCAGAGGGGGGAGGGGAGAAAGAGTAAGGAATTGGACACAGAAAGGGGTGGGCGAGAGAGGGAGGGTATGTGATGCATGGAGGAGGCAGGAGAGGGAAGAATGGGAAACATGGAGAGGAGGGGGGGGAGAAAGGGTGGAATGGGACACATGGAGGTGCTAGGGGGGTAGATGGAATGGGAAATATGAGTGGGGTGGGAATGGGACACATGGAGGGGCTGTGGGGCCAGGTAATGAGACACATGGGAGGGGGACCCCAGGGCAAGGGCAAGTTTCCCCTCTGGATGAGGTATAACAGTTACATATTTGAAATGTATTTGAAAAAGTTAAATATTGGTTTTCAAACACTTACTATTAGAAATAGTTTTGGTTTGTTTTTTTTGTTTTTTTATTTTCTTGATTTTCTCTCTCTCTCTCTCTTTCTCTCTCTTTCTCTCTCTCTCGCTCTCTCTTTTATTTTATTTTTTATTTTTTTTGTTAAATTGTTGGGACCATAAGAAACTAAACTATATTACTAAGTATTGTGTTGCTGGAACAGATGTTTTATGGTTTCCAGCCTTAGTGTGCTTTTATGTTCTATATTTAAAGGACCACTATAGTGCCCTGAGGGTGCTCCCACCCTCAGGGACCCCCTCCCGCCGGGCTCTGGGGAGAGAAAGGGGTTAATATCTTGCCTTTCTCCAGCGCCGGGCAGGGAGTTCTCCTCCTCGTCTGCTGAATGCGCATGCGCGGCAGGAGCTGCGCGAGCATTTAGCCAGTCTCATAGGAAAGCATTCCTAATGCTTTCCTATGGATGCTTGCGTCTTCTCACTGTGATTTTCACAGTGAGAAGCACGCAAGCGCCTCTAGCGGCTGTCAATGAGACAGCCACTAGAGGCTTTAGAGGCTGGATTAACCCATTTATAAACATAGCAGTTTCTCTGAAACTGCTATGTTTATAAAAAAAAATGGGTTAACCCTAGCTGGACCAGGCACCCAGACCACTTCATTAAGCTGAAGTGGTCTGGGTTCCTAGAGTGGTCCTTTAAAGAGGCAAGAATAGCACATTTTAGATGTGAAAAAAAAAAGTGTGTGTACAACACAAAACCTTGTCAGGCTTTGCCACAGGGAAATTAGTTAACTAAAAGATGCCGGGTGTTTTTTTTTTTTTTTTTTTAATTCTTCAGTTACATGCGTTCAATTGATACAGTATTATTCAATCATTACAGTGTGTGCATGAGCCTATGACTTTATCACAATTATTGGCATTTATATAGTGGCATCTTATTTTGCATTGCTTCGATGATACATGTAATTACTGCAACCTAAGTCACTTTTATTTCCTTTGTGTCTGCTTGTAGATCAGAAGTTAATAACAAATATAAATGGAAAGAGGTAAACAAATGCACCAGGTTTTTTTTTTTTTTTTTTGTGCATTTCAGCCTTGTTTTAAAAAAAAATAAAAAAAAATTCTTGTCTCTCGCAGATGACATTCAAACTGTACATATCTTTTAATGCCTTCTGCACAGCAGTATTTAAAATTTTTCATTTATTGCAATGGATTTGTGACCTCTTTTTCTGCAGATCTTATTCTGGGGCAATACTAGCACTTTTCTGAAAGCCCTGCAAAATTCGCTGGTTCTGCCAAGAACTGCAGGTCATGAATTATTGACCTGCGAGTATGAATGTTTAAAGATCATATAAAACGTCTGTTTCCCTCAATTGTTTTGTTTTTGTGACAAGTAGGGCAGCAGTGTTTATATAACTCAATGACATGAATTTTCTTACTCATTTGGTTTATTATGATTATTTTATTAAACCAGCTTTGTCATTTGAAACTTAGTTGTATTAAATCGCAAAAAAAAAAAGTAACAGTTCCACAAGAGAACTTTGTCCTGTTTAGAGTTTTTATATCAGAAGGTTCTACGCAACTAATCTCTAAGGTACCTTATAAAAATGTGGCTTGGAAGTGTCAGTGCTCAGTTGCATGGCACTCTTGGAGTGTTGTGAAAACACGTTGTTCCAGAGCTGCTCTGCTGAAAAGGGATTAATTTGATGAAATCCAATTTGGCATATGCATATGATAAATAGATGTTTATTTAGGGTTCAAATTCTCTTCTTGCCCACTCATGAGCTACTCAGTGGAGCAGTGAAAAATGTGTCTGAAGCACTTTTCATCTTCATTCACTCGACTCCAGTGAATCCCCCCTTCCCCCCGCCCCTGAGAAGTATGGATTTTGTCCAGAATAAAGGGGATGATGAGAATATTATTTGTCTTGTACAGTCAGTTTGAAAAGTGACATCAAGGTATATTTGTACATTCTTGTTTTGTTATTATATCCTTTGTGCAACATTTTTGGTTGGATGGCTGCCTACTGCCCTTAGTTTATGTAATAAATCTCTAGTGACCACCTTTTTCAGAAAGACTAGTACCTTTTTATTTATTTTTACATATGTTTGAAAGGAGGGGGCATTTTCCTTGCCAACATCTGACAGTGTCCTCTCCGCCAACATTATCCCTCCCATATCATTGCCCACTCCACCCAAATTCAAATATTTTGCCTCTGCATTATGTGATGTGGCACATATAGATCATGCTGATAGACCCATGTAGGGACATGCCACACATAACTTGCTCCTGTACTATTTGTCTGTGTAGATTATACGTCCTCCCTTAATTGTACAGCGCTGTGGATTCTGTTGGCACTTTATAAATACCAGTAATAAAAAAATATAACCCCTTCTTTCACATGCGATGACATTCCCTATATGACCCTTGCAAAAACATTTCTGCATTCATCTGCAGAGCTGTGCTTGTACTTTTTTAAGGGAAAAGTACATTTTAGTCATTGCTTATAGAATTGAACTTGCAATTTTGAGTCCTGCTATATTATATCAGAAGGGTAGCTTTACTAGCTGCCTTCATGTACACACAAGCTTCTTTTTTCTTTTTTTCTTTTTTTTTTAATGTTTATCTAGGTTTGTTTTAAATTGCTTTCAGTTCTGGAGCTATAGCATAGTACCTAGAAGTACCAGGTTGTCATAGCCTTTAAAAATATTAATCCAAATATTATAGTATATGTATATAATTTTGTTTTGTCTCTTTCATTTTAGAAAAGAAAGCGTTAGTACCCAAGAAGGAAAAGGCTAAGCAAAGACGGGAGCAATGGCTGCAGAGTAAGAATTTTGCTCATAATATTAGTTTATTTTCTCATATGTTGTAAAATCTCTTTAAACTCAGAAACCAAGGAAAAGTGTATTTTACTGGAAGTATTAAAAGAGTATCTTATTCAAACACTGCACGGAAGTCCTGTTATGATATCCTTCATTATTATTCTAAAAAAGTAACAGAGTTGGTAAACAACTAGAGATAATGAGTGCGGTTTTCTCACAAACAGTAAAGTGTTAATAGAGTCTTTGATAAGTAATGGCGTCTGTGCAGCTATCACATTTGGTAGCTGTTAAATTGAATATAACTTTTTTCTCTATAGGGGGAGCTATAATTGTAAAATTACCAAATGTATGTGTATGTACCTTAAATTCTACAGAATATATGTGTTTATCACAGATATTATTTATTTGTTTATAAAATATTTTACCAGGAAGGATACATTGAGATATCTCTTGTTTTCAAGTATGTCCTGGGTTCACAAAACATTGCATTGTTAAATTAGGGTACAATAAAATACAAAAACAATATTAATACACAATATATACAAAATTTAACATAGAACACGTAAAAAATAGATCAACCATGATCGGTGCAGAAAAGCTCTTAAACACGAGGCTGGAAAGAGGAAAGTTGTGTCTGGATTCCAACGACAGCCAGTTTAGTTCTTTTAGCACAAGCATGTCAAACTCAAAGGATAGCAAGGGCCAAATAAACAAGGTTTAAGTTTATGTGGGTCGCAAAAAAACAAAAGTAAATTTTCAGCCCCTCTACTAAACCCCAGCCCCTCTCGTCTACTAAACTCCAGCCCCCCCCCCTCGTCTACTATATCCCAGTCCCCCCATCTACTAAATCCCAGCCCGTTTAAAAAAATAAAAAATAGCCTCTAGTAATAACAAATGTACAATGTTAAAAGGAGTAAGTGAAAAGCTCTACAAACCTACACCACTTTAGAAAATGAACAATATAGATACATACGTGAGGTGGAGCTTCTAAATAACTGTTTAGTAGATATCCTGAAAAATGAAATTCTAAAACACTAGTGCAATACAGTATTGTCAAGTATAACATATATTAAAATGCAAGAGTGGTGTCATACCCTCATATGACTCAATGATGTGCGCTTGTGGACCATTAAAAGGATGTCCAGATCCCTCTTCTGTGCAATGCTCTGTCTTGTCCCACCTTTGACCAGCTCAGGATAGTGCAGATGCCAAGTCAGAGAAGTTTCTTCCAAAGAAAAGGTGCTTTATTGGTTTAAAATACACTCAAATATAAAATATAGTATACCAGATAAAGTTCTGGATCAACTGTATAGTCCAAACAATGAGAAAAACAAACAAAACCTTTCCGCCTGGGCAAAGGAGACACTGAGTGTAGGCAGGAAAAGGCTCTAGGAACAGGAACCAAGCTTCATCCCGGTGAATATGCTGCCAGGGTCTCCGCATAGCATTGCTTTAGAAACTGGTCTGGTGGTTCAATTAAAGCGTGGACATCTCTAAGCACTTCTGGGGGGTTGTCACCTCCATTGGCTGAGTCAGTAGGCTGTAAACCCAACCGGCTGAAAAATTGCTCGGGTTTGTGTGACTAGGAGAGGTAGCATTGGTTGCCAGCATGGGTGGCTGTATGGCCTCTGCGCGGCCCTCATTTGTACGGCACTCCCCTGTCTCGGAGTACTGCAGTAACCACAGAGTAGCTTTTACGCCATTGCAGTACTTGAAAGGGTAAGTCTCTGTTGATCATGAACTTAAAGTTAGTATATTCATTATGACCCCTTGTCTGCGCCTTTTGTAGTATCACTATTTTGTAATCTACCCGGGTGAATTGTGCCACCATGTCCCAGAAAGAGTCCACCAGGGCCACAATGGCCATGTGTATTCTGTATACCCCCTCCACCTCACTGCCAGCGAGTCCAAAAGACCGTTCTGCACAAGTCCTTTTGTGCAATACTCTCTGGTATGCCCCTGATCCTCACATTTCTTTTTCTCTGCTGGAGTAGAAGGGACTCCCCCCGACAACTCCAGGATCTTACTCTGCTGGTCGGGTGGAAACAAAGAAGGTGGCTGGTGCGGATGCTAGGCAGATTCCAGGGTTAGTATGCGCTAGGATAGATCTTTCACCTCTTGTTGGAGGCCTTCCAACTCAGCTTGGAACATCTGCTTAAAGTCCCGGAACAACTTGTAGATGGGGTAGTATCATAATCCGAACCTTTTGTTCTGTAGAAGAAGGGCTTCAGGTTCGATATAGGCTACCCTTTCTCGTGGTCATCTGAGTATTCTGATTTGGTGCGTTCTTCGGCCGCCATCTTGGGTAAAGTCCGTATCAGGAAGGACTCCATAGCAGCATGTTTAGCAGGCTGATTTGGAGCATTTTTCTTGTGTCTCCAGCCCATAGTGAATCATGGGAGCCTCAAGCACCATGTGTCCTGCTAGCTCAGTCGGATCCACCCCCGGAAAGGTCGTTTTTACTTACCGAACCGGTCCCTAGCGACAGACGTCACATCATTTTCTTCTGCGATGTGCACTTTAACTCTTGACCCTTAATTTTCCAGGAGCTGATGTCTTTGCTGTACTCTTGTGCATGCACATGGATCCTCCATAGAAAGAGCTTTTTCCCCCTGCCCTGTCACTAGTGAGGGCTGAGGGCTTGACAAAGATTAAAACAAATCTGTCACTGTTTAGTATTTCATAAAAATATAATCCAGAGATGCAATAAGAAAAAGTTGGGATTACTTGAGGTTGACAAAAGGAGGAGCACTTCTGTCAACTTTTGGCAATCCCCGCAGCTGTCACAAATGATGGCTGTGGGATTCAGGTATTGTCTATGGCGTATACCGCCATTTCACATTAACAAGAGTACAGTAGTAAAGTGACTCTAGGGAGCTGAAGTGCCAGGAGCCAAAGAGGACCTGTATTATGAACATGGCAGCTGCTGCGAGGGACAGCCAGAGGTAGGCAAAACTCACTTCCCTTCCCCCCCGTGGCCACTGGACCCCCACTGGATCCGTCTGTTTTGGGGGTCTTTGAGAAATATGCAAAAAATGACAGATCCACTTTAACCCCTTAAGGACTGGACTGTTTTTGCGATGTTGTACATTTGCGACCAGGCATATTTTTACACTTTTGTGGTGTTTGTGTTTGGCTGTAATTTTCCGCTTTCTCATTTACTGTTCCCATACAAATTATATATTGTTTTTTTCAGGACAAAAGGGGCTTTCTTTACATACCATTATTTATATAATCTCATGTATTTTAATTTAAAAAAAATAAAAAAATCTGATGAAAAATTGAAAAAATACATGTTTTTTGACTTTTACTTGAAAAATCTTTTACTCATCTACAAAAGCGAATGAAAAAAACTGCTAAATAGATTCAAAATTTTGTCCTGAGTTTAAAAATACCTAGTGTTTATGTGCTTTTTTGCTTTTTTTTGCATGTTATAGGGCTATAGGTACAAGTAGGATATTGCGGTTTCAAAACATACATTTTTAAAATTTATCAATAGTGACATTGTAACACTATTATCTGTCATAAATCTCTGAATAACACCCCACATGTACATATTTTTTTTAAAGTAGACAACCCAGGGTATTCAATATGGGGTATGTCCAGTCTTTTTTAGTAGCCACTTAGTCGAAAACACTGGCCAAAGTAAGCATTCATATTTGTTTGTGTGTGAAAAAAGTAAAAAAACTAAATTGAACGCTAATTTTGGCCAGTGTTTGTGACCAAGTGGTTACTAAAAAAGACTGGACATACCCCATTTGCAATACCTTGGGTTGTCTTCTTTTGCAAATGGTATGCCATCATGGGGGTAATTCTCATTCCTGGGCTACCATACGCTCTCAAAGGCAACGTAACCAACCTGGCCATTTTCAATGTAAAAATATTTGACCCATATATTTGACCTTGTAACTTTCAAAAATGCTATAAAACCTGTACATGGGGGGTACTGTTTTACTCGGGAGACATCGCTGAACACAAATATTAGTGTTTAAAAACTGGAAAACGTATCACAACAATTATATCATCAGTAAAAGTGCTGTTTGTGTGTGAAAAATGCAAAAAAAGTAACTTTCACTGACAATATCATCGCTGTGATATGTTTTACTGTTTTGAATCACTAATATTTGTGTTCAGCGAAGTCTCCCGAGTAAAACAGTACCCCCCATGTACAGGTTTTAGGGTGTCGTAGAACGTTACAGGGTAAAATACAGTGCTAGCAAATTAAATTCTCTGGAATTTCGGCCTGGGTTGGCAGGCAGGTCCCTCAAATTGCAATCAATAAAATTACTGAATTATGTAAAAATATTACATAAATACGCACGTAGAATTTAAATATATATGCATATTTATATATTTGAAGTCTACGTGTATATTTATATAATTATTTATGTAATTTTGTATATGGACGTATGTATATTTCTTATTATTTTTATTTATTTTTATATACATAGATATATATACAAATTCATTCTAAGTGTATTTTGATATAAATATATATATATTAATTTTAAAATACAGTTAGAATAAAATTTCATATAGCTATATAATTTTTTTTAAATTTTTTATTATTATTTAAAAAAAAAATATTTAATTTAAATTACTTATTATTTATATTTTATAATAATATATATATACAATATATAGTTATTATATATATTATATATATACGTGTGTAATTTAATTATAAGTGTATTTTTATATTAATATAAGTACATATTAATATAAAAATACATAGTATATATTATATATATGATATATAGACATATATTATATAGATATAATATATGTCTATATATCATATATACACATATATAATTATTTATTTTTTATTAACATTAACTTTATTTATTTTTTGATTTTTTACACATGCAGGAGACTGCCTGTCAGCACAGGCAGTCCCCTGCAGGCAGACACATGGACACCTATTGTGACCATGTGATCGCTGTTAGCGATCACATGGCCAGAGGTCCTAATCTGCCGTGGGGAGACTGTCTGGGCTGCAGGCAGTCTCCCCACAACCGGAGCAACGCTGATCGCCGCCGGGGGAACGACGGCGATCAGGTAAGTACCCCCAGACCGTTAGGACGGTTCAGGACCGTCATCGGTCGGCAACGCAAAAATGCCGATGACGGTCCTGAACCGTCCTTGGTCCTTAAGGGGTTAAAAGCTGTAGTCCAGAAAATAAAAAATACAAAAGACAAAGTAGTGTCTTATTACTTTTCACTGAAATTCCAACACCATCTTGTCCAGGACATACTTGGAAAATAGAGAAATCTCAATGTATCCTTCCTGGTAAAATATTTTATAAATAAATCCTTATTTTTTTTTTGAGGGTTAGAAGGGGAAAACAAACTGAATTTTAGCTAATACAAGCTCCTGATATTTTCAGTTCTCTGTCAAAGGTTGGAAGCTGGGAATTGTGCCTGTCAGACCCCAGGTAATAGGTCCAACAGTTCTAAAGAAGTTTTACAATTTTCAGTGGGAGAGAGCAGGGCATTCCTGGCACCATAACAGCTACATTGGGCTGTAGTGGTTATGGTGCTTGGAGTATCCCTTTGAAGAGCCTATGCCATTAATGATTAGCTTACTTGACGTGCTAGTGGTCAATGGTAGGGTATTCCTTGTCAGAGCAGGACCTCTAAAAATCAGATTTTTATGATGAACTATACTAATATTGGTCCATAATGGGTTAAAAGCATAATTCTTACATTGACATATTTTAATAGTGAATGTTTAAATGCAGGATCAGTTCATGCCATAAGCGTGGGTACAGAGCACTCTGTAATTTTAAAATGCAACCAGTATATTAAGTCCCTACAGCAACATTTCACTTCTATTTAGCAACATTTATCAAGGGCTAATTATTTGCAGTAAGGGTATAAGTCCCCTGGTGAAAGTTCTTATCCTAATATAAACATCAATTTCAAGATTGCATGAATTGGTTGATTGATTTTACACTTTGGAGTGCCCCATTCCCACGATAATCTACGGGTTAGATTGTTCGGAAACATGCAAACAAGATGCAATAAGCTGTATATGGTACCATTAAAGTAAAAGCAAATGAAGGCAATTCTAAATATAGCATCTCTTATCTACGAATTCTTTGTCAGATCAAAGTATTTCAGCAATAACCATTAATTATTTCAGTGTATCTAATGGAATCATTGTGTTCTACAAGTATAGGGCTGCCTGTAATTCTCTTTGCATTGCTATCTTCATATTCCATTCTTCTGATGTCATACATTTGACCTTTGGTAGTGTTGACCCATCCTACTGAATGTAGACCACCACCCCTTCCTCGTCTTGTTCTTTGCTGATCACTACTATGAATCACTTGGTAAATAAAGGTACAGTGCCACTTTGCAGTGCCATTGATAATTGCATTGACTGATAATGGTGTTTGAGAAGAGAGCTTTGCTTACCATAGCCTAAGTAAATCTTCCCGCAACCCCAGTAGAGTTGGAGAGTGCTGCATTTCTGAGAATAATTGGACTTACACACCTATAGCTGCATTTCCTTTAGTGAAATAACCAATGCCACCTTCCTGCTAATCCTTTTTGATGGGTTTAATGTGTCAGCTGTTCAATCAAATACGCAAAAAACATGGAAAGAACCAGTACGTATTTTCTCATGAAAACCAAAAAATGTTTTTGAAAATCAGTTATGCGTTGCTGTAGTTTTTTGGCTGATACCTTAAGCCAGTGGACCCCATTTTTTTTTATTTATTTTTTTTGGACAGCCTTAAAGGGATCCTGTCTTGCCTTACCTTACCTTACTTGACCATCTGCACATGTGTCACATTGTCCTTACAATTGCCAGCATTATGGGATTTGAGCAGTTACATCAGTCCCTCTGTTCCTATACTCATTAGCCTGGTGGGGTCTGATAAAGGGCCTCAGGGGCCTGCAGCTAAACGTGTTTATGGGCCACAGCACATGGGAACACAGTAAGCATCATTACCACTACCAAGCACTACAGTGGTTATGATGCCAGGAGTGCCCTGACCCCCGCTGACGGTAGTTGGAACGGTTTGTCTACTTACCTGGGGTCTGCTGGGTGCCGCTTCTCTACGTGGCCAGGGAGCTCTTGCTTAGGAGACTTCTGTTGACTTTCCCGAGTTAAGCCTTGCAGTGAAGGACTTACTTCAGACAGAGAGCTTCTGGCTCAGGTAGTAAAGACAGGAGCAAACCACAGGTAAGAAGTTAAGCCATTCTAGAATGGTTTAAATACTCCTAATGGTGTGGCTCCAGGGCACTCTTGGCACAATAACAACTACAACGTGCTGCAGAGTTTATGGTGTTTGGTGTATTTCTTTTAGTGGGAAATTGCAAAATAACATCTAAAACTATACCCAAGTTTCCATATAAATGATCACTTGTAGGCTACGTTAGCCCATAATTGCATTTACATATGCGCACTGGATAGATAAGTCCTATGTAAACCATTTGTGCTTTATGTCTTTAGTGTTGTTTTGCTACCGTATGTCTATACAATATCCTGTGTATTCAATATAGTACAAAATGTAGTGAACTGAAATTTAAATAGTAAAATTGAGGCAACAATAGCTGATTTGGAGAAATTCTCCAACTCTTTTGTTGTCACAGCTAGGCTACATTGGTCTCAATTTTGAAATTTGGATTTCACTTTGCTACCATTTGGTGGTTACTGTATGAACCTGTATGTCACACCTTGCTTGACATGCATGTGAAGTTCAAATATATGATTTATTATTATTATTTATATAGCGCCAGCAAATTCTGTAGCTCTGTACAATGGGTATGCGTGAGTTATACATTTGAAGTTTTACGGTGTGGGATTTATACAATATATGTTTAAATGGTGTGAGGCATATCAGTGTTTTTAATATGTATGTTTGTTTGTGTAATATATGCTTGATGTATTACTGGGGGCTCTGTAATATCACTATACATCCAGCACCTTACTGTTGGCTCTAATCTCTCAGTACTTCCTGCAAATTACTGGGGTCTCTCTAACTTCCAAGAACACCCTGCACATTACTGGGGGCTCTGTAATATCCCAGAACAGAACATCCTGCACATTACTGGTGGCTCTAATCTCTCCGTACTTACAGTAAATTACTGGGGGCTCTGTAATATCCCAGTACACACTGCACATTACTGGGGCTCTGTAATATCTCAGTACACACTGCACATTACTGGGGGCTCTGCAATATCCCAGTACATACTGCACATTACTGGGAGCTCTGTAATATCCCAGTACACACTGTACATTACTGTGGGTTCTGTAATATCCCAGTACACACTGCACATTACTGGGAGCTCTGTAATATCCCAGTACACACTGCACATTACTGGGGGCTCTGTAATATCCCAGTACACACTGCACATTACTGGGGGCTCTGTAATATCCCAGTACACACTGCACATTACTGGGGGCTCCATAATTCCTCTCTCTGCAATTCCTTTAAAACTCCACACTCCCATCACACTATATATGTTATTTACTCAGACTCCCACCTACACTGCCTGAGTTTTGTCTAATTCTGTCTAAATTAACTTCAGATAATTAAATCTATTGGAGATGGAAACATTACCCCTTTCATGTAGTTGGTATCTTTCTTTTACCCTCCTATCCTCCTTCGGGGAACCCACTCTTAATCTTGGTGCCTGGATCAATTCTTTCCTCCTGATTACTATTTCTGGGGGTCCTCAACTCTTCCTGTCCAAGTCTTTTTGAGAAATTAGGATATTTCCTCTTTACTGGTGATAAACGGGTCCTAGAGAGATTGCGATATTCCCTCTTGTATGGTGATAAACGGGTCCTAACTAGAGATGTCGCGAACTGTCTGCCGAACTGTTCGCGAACTATCCGCCGGCGAACAATAGCGTGTTCGCGTTGGGCGAACATATCCGATTTCCGGTCCGCCCCCTATACGTCATCATTGAGTAAACTTTGACCCGGAACCTCACAGTCAACAGACACTTCCTGGGAGGGAGAGTCTGCTGCTGATTGGGTGGAATGTGTCTGCTGGCTGTGAGGTTCCGGGTCAAAGTTTACTCAATGATGACGTATAGGGGGCGGACCGGAAATCGGATATGTTCACCCAGCCTTCGGGGGACTCCGAATCCACCCCCCAATCCACCCCCGCCATGATGCCCAGCCATAATGTTTGACCCTGTGCCTGGCCCCCGTGGAAGCCCTCTCTTTCTTCCGTGGGGTTCTCTCCAGAGCGGCCCCAGTGTCCGGCGAGGCCATGATCCCGGAGGAAGATGATGACGTGGAGGGTAGGGATAGGGTCGCCCGTGGCCGCTGTCTATCTTCTTCACAGTCAGCCTGGAAGGATGTTGGAGTGGGGCACAGCCGGGGGAAGCGGTGATTCCTCTCTTTCTGAAAGGCAAGCTGTCTATTTTCGGCAGATTTGTCCCTTTTTCGGCCGAAATGGGATAGGCCCATTTTCAGCCGAAAATTTTGGTGCATCCGTAAAATGCACCATTCCTTTTATCAATTTTGTAGTTAGTCTCTGCACCTTTTCTAGTGCCGTGATATCCTTATTTAGAACAGGTGCCCGAAATTGCACAGCATATTCAAGGTGTGGTCTTACCAGCGATTTATAAAGAGGCAAAATTATATTTTAATCCAGAGAATCCATGCGCCTATTTATACATGACAAAACCTTACTGGCCTTAGCAACTGCCGATTGACATTGCATATTGCTGCCTAATTTGTTCTCTATAACATTTCCCAAATCCTTCTCGTGTGTTGTTATCCCTGTGTGTTGTTAGAGTGTAAGTTGCTTGTGCATTCTTTACCCCGAAGTGCATAACTTTGCATTTCTCTACATTAAATTTAATCTGCCATTTCAATGCCCAGTCCCCTAATCTATCTACATCCCTCTGCAGCAAAGCAATATCCTGCTCACATTTTATTCCTTTACAAAGTTTTGTGTCATCTGCAAACACTAAAACATGGCTTTCAATGCCTTTTTCAAGATCATTTATAAATAAGTTAAATAGAAGCAGTCCCAAAACAGAACTCTGAGGCACACCCCTTACGGTTTATTGTCCAGTTCGAAAATTTACCATTAATGACAACTCATTGTACTCTATCCTTAAACTAATGTTCTACCCAAGAACAAGAATATTCATCTAGACCAAATTCTTTTAGTTTGAACACCAACCTATTGTGAGGAACTGTATGAAATGTCTTGGAGAAATCCAAGTAGATCACATCCACTGCAACACTGATTTATACTTCTACTTACTTCTTCGGAGAATGCAATTAGGTTACTTTGACGTGATCTATGTTTCATAAAACCATGCTGATTATTGCTAATAACAGTTCATCCCAATGAATTCCTGAATATTATCCCTTAATAGTCCTTCAAACACTTTCCCAGTCACAGAAGTTAAGCTCACAGGTCTATAATTTCCAGGCAATTATTTTGAACCCTTTTAAACTATAGGAATGACATCTGCCTTCCTCCAATCCTCAGTTACAATGCCTGAAAGAAAGGAATCTTGAAAGATTAAATACAGAGGTTCACTTATTTTCACACGTAGCTCTTTAAGTACACATGGGTGAAAACCGTCAGGCCCCGGAGCGGAGCTTTATTTACATTAAAGGAACACTATAGTCACCTAAATTACTAAATAAAGAAGTTTTAGTGTATAGATCATTCCCCTGCAATTTCACTGCTCAATTCACTGTCATTTAGGAGTTAAATCACTTTGTTTCTGTTTATGCAGCCCTAGTCACACCTCCCCTGGCTATGATTGACAGAGCCTGCATGAAAAAAAAAACTGGTTTCACTTTCAAACAGATGTAATTTACCTTAAATAATTGTATCTTAATCTCTAAATTGAACTTTAATCACATACAGGAGGCTCTTGCAGGGTCTAGCAAGCTATTAACATAACAGGGTATAAGAAAATCTTAATTAAACAAAACTTGCAATAAAGAAAGCCTAAATAGGGCACTCTTTACAGGAAGTGTTTATGGAAGGCTGTGCACGTCACATGCAGGGAGGTGTGACTAGGGTTCATAAACAAAGTGATTTAACTCCTAAATGGCAGAGGATTGAGCAGTGAGGCTGCAGGGGCATGTTCTATACACAAAAACTGCTTCATTAAGCTAAAGTTGTTCAGGTGACTATAGTGTCCCTTTAATTTTCTTTAACTGCTGTAGCACCTTGTCTCGAGTCCTCCAATCACAAGTTATCAGCAAGTTTTTTGCAGCAATCACTTGCATATCTCTTGTCATAGAATCCTCATTAATATATACTGAAGAAAAATAGTTATTTAAAATTTCTGCCTTTTCCTGGTCTTCATTAAAGGACCACTATAGTGCCCTGAGGGTGCCCCTTCCCGCCAGGCTCCAGCGTCGGGCGGGGAGCTCTCCTCCTCGGCTGAATGCGGATGCGGCAAGAGCGGCGTGCGCATTCAGCCAGTCTCATAGGAAAGCATTCACAATGCTTTCCTATGGATGCTGGCGTCTTCTCACTGTGAAAATCACAGTGACAAGCATCCCCTGGTGACATCAGAAGGCTAACCCTAGTCTGCAGCTCACTCAGAGCTCAATTAGGAGGAGAGAAATGAGTCAGCTGCAAGATTAACAGGTCAGCCAGTAGTGTGCGCCTAGAACAGCAGGATGGACCTGGAGATCCACCCACCCCTGTGTTAATCTGGCCCTGGGTACTAGCAGAGCCTATGCCGAAGAATTGATTGACAGCTGGGAGGAAGACCTGTTTTTAAATAGGTATTTCTCCTAATCGTTACATTTGCTAGCAAACTGCTAGCACAATATATAAATCAAATTTGAAGCTCTTTAAAAAGACCAAAGTAGCTTTGGGAATGACAGGTGACCTTTAAATAACAGATGAATTTACTAGGTACAACAACCTCAAAAGTTGCCTCCAACGCCAATCTCCACTCCCCTCCAGGCTGCATCCAGCTTCTGAAATTTCAGTTTCAGAGAGCGCAGAGTGCTGGCGGACATGGCCTTCTCTGATTGGCTAAAAGCGTCCGCTCACTGCTCTCAGCCAATCATCAGTGCCACTGCCCGGCAGCACTCCGCGCTCCTAAAAAATTAAATTTCAGAAGCTGGATACTGCCTGTTGGGGAATGGAGTTTGGGGTTAAACGATTTAACCCCTGGAGGTGAGTGCCTGTAAGGGCTTGATGAAGTTGTTATGGTGCCTTGGGCAGCTTAAACTGCCTTTTTAATGGTTGTTTGTGTCCCCTTGTTTTATGAAAGCTTTGATAGTGAATCTGGCAGTTTAACTAGCATCTTGGCCACATAAACCCATATAAAGTTTAATTTCACATCCTGCTTGCTATGAAACTTCAGTCTGGTGTCAGAGCCCACGTAAGCATACACATGAAAGCAAGCCATGGATACAAGCCATGGCAGCTCTTCTATCAAACTGCTACGGTAGGATGGATAATTTATTTGGTGTCAGGAGTCTCAGAACTATATTTTTCTTGCACCTCAACATCTGTGTTCCATTGCACTTTGTCTCTGGATTCCCTCCATGTCAGTGCACAGCCTATTTAGAATTAAAAACTTTCTCTTGCATAAAGGGTTGTACAATCTCCATGGCAGGGGCCAATAGAAAAGGAGGTCAGGTGAAACCAGAGCTGCTGTAGTTAAAGTCCACAAAGAAATGTATTTTCCATTAAAATCAAACTCATAGTAAAACTGTATTTTTGTGATGTGCATTTAAGCAGCTGAATTCTTTAGTCGGATAACTCAAAAACCAGATCCACTTTTTTTATGTGACTCTAATCCTCATCCCACTGCACTGACGGACAGCAATATGACACACTGTTTAATAGACAGCCTGTTGATGTTTAATGCCTTGTATATTTATTGTGTAGTTAATCACATTTATAATGCATAACATAGATGAAAACAAAATTTGATTTAAAGTGTTTATCTTGTTACGTTTTGTTTTCATTTAAATTTATATTAAAAAAATTCCACAAATTATATCTTAAACCAGTTCAAAGCCAAGGCAAATATTGCAAGTAAAAAGGAGAAATAGAAACCTTGTTTAATTTCTCCTCTCCTCTCCATGCTGATTGCCAAGTGCAAAGACAGATCTTATAAGTATGTTTGATAGGAAGTTAAAGGAACACTCCTATATCCATAGGAAAGCATTGGGAGGCTGTTGCACCTGCGTGGCAAACTGCTGCGCTATGCCAATAAGCATCTCATCTTAGTGATGCAATGTGTCAATGCATGTCTATGGGGAACGTTCAGTGTCTCCATGCAAAGCATAGAGACTCTGAACGCCAGTGTTACACACTGTGCAGTAATGGACTAGAAAGCACCTCTAGTGGCCGTCTGAGTTACAGACACTAGCGGTGTTCCTAGGCTGCAACGTAGACATTGCATTTTTTTCAGAAAAAGTTTCATATCAAAAAACATGCAGTGACGGACATTAATCTGTAGTGGTTTATCTTAGTGTCCCTTTAAGATGGCAGCACTCTGTTACAGGATAATAAGGTGTGGATTTCAACATTTAATTTTATTTTCAACATCTCACAAATATTTGTTAAATATATGGACAAATATAGTGTTAAAATTACTGGGAAATTATAGTTCCTCTTCAAAACAGAATACATTTTGAAGAATAAGGGTATTGACATATTTTACAGTTGTTTTGTGTAAATTTAATAGACATAAATTTAAGCTGCACTTACAAGCAAATGTAGATTAAATACACCCTTCCACACAAAAAAGGGCTGGATTTTGGCAATATAAAAATTATGATCCATTTTTGAGTTAGTGTCCCACCACCATTCTCCTCGTTCTGTTATATTTATGTGATTAATTGCTACACTCTGTCTGGTTGCCTGTGATGACAATATAGTCAAATTCACATGCCGATAACTTTTTTTTTTATGTTTAGGGGGGGAAAAATGCATAAAATCTGAAGGCAAATACAGATCGTACAAGTGAAAAAGATTGACTTCTAAAACATTTTTACCTAATCACTTGTTTGATAACACCTAACGTTGGTGACATAGTTTTTACCCCTGTTATGGAAATGGAATTTTTGTTTGCAACGGTTTGACAACTAGCTACCAAATTAATCTGCCCTTGGTGCTTGTGAGCCATTACTATTTACAAAGTGTTTTTAAGTTACACGTTACTTGATATATTTTGCTTTTCAAAGAATATGATTATCTGTCTTCTAATTGTACAATCTAAATGCCTATCATTTCTGTTTGATCCATTTAGCAATGTACATCAGTTTTTGGTGGTGTGAATTATTTTACCTAATTGCCACAATGATTTAATTTTTTCAGAAATCGAATCTTTGGCTTTGGCTCGACAGAAACTAAAAGCCCAAGTCAAGAGGAAAGCTACACCTATAGTTGGGGACATGCAGCCGCTTGTGGACGCACTGCCAGAACTTTCAGAATTAACCACAGTTCGCAAGCCGAGAGCCCCCAGAAAGCAACCTAACGCGTAAGTGATTTACTAACTGCAACATTCCTTTCTCTAACGGAGTAATACTGTACTACTAACATTATATTGATTTATTGCACCCACATATTTCGTCTGCAGTGCTGTACAATGAGTAAAAAATAAATAATGCAAAGTAGCCTGAATAGCTATTTTGACTGTTCTATAGATGTCACATTAGCCAGCACTTTGCACATGTTCAGTGAATTGTCACTCCCAGTTTCTTGTCTTGTAATTGTCTCATTTGTTGTTAATTCTCCCCCTCTTATAATATTGTAAAGAGCTAAGAAATATGTTGGTGCTATATAAATACCAATAATAATAATTTTAATAATTGCACTTTTCTCTGATGCCACAACTCTGCTACCCCTGACGTTAGTTAGGATGTATGCTCTTTCTCTATGTATTCTAGAAGTAGCTTTGTGCACCATATTTCCTATGAATAGATGAAGACCTTTGGCTCACATACATACACAAGAATAAGGTGTAAAAATGTTTACTCCACTTTTTCTTCCATGCTGCACTGCTTTCTCTGCAGCTGGCCCTGCATCCTTTTGTGACCAGAGTGATGGCCACTAGAGACATTTAAACCCTGCAATGTAAACATTGCCGTTCCATCAGAATGCCACTGTTTTTTTTATTTTTTTTATTTCAATGAGATGAATGAAGTGGTCTTGGTGCTATGGTGTCCCTCAAAGCAAGTTGAAGTGGTAGCAGCAGGTAAAAAGTAGGGTCATTTTTTATTTTGATAAAATGAGTGTGCTTGTAATTAACATGTAGTACGCAAGTAACAAATCCAGCTTGAAGCGCAAGTTACATATATGTAGAGCAAAGAACTAGTGTAAAGTGTGTTTATAACTTTATAGTACTAGTAATATGATCCTCAAACTGTGTAGCATGCCCTGCTTATTTCATTTCGGGAGCGGAATTGGTTCATGCATTTGTTAAATGACTAGGTTTAATCCACTTCAGAATAGGATTTTTAAAGAACAGACATTTGTAGACCCACCCTTAAGAGGCTATACAATTGCTGTATGCTTTAAGGCCAGAAACTGAAACCATGCAGCTATGTCATCTAACCCATTTCGATTAGCTATATCATTGTCAACGTATTTAATTGCACTTTAATGTAAATGTAATTTGTCAAATGCATTTGTATCATTTAATGGCATATGTTTCCTTTCAATTAAAACATGGCAAAATGAGAAGCTATATTTGTAAGCCTTTTGATTTTTGGCCAGAGTTGGCTCCATATTAAGAATAGCTATTAGTGCAGATCTTTTCACATAATTATTTATCTGGGGACTAGTAGTGGATGGTGGACAGATGTGGCATTGTGAGAATTGAGGATTAAATTCTGCAGTGACGTGGAAAGGATCTTGTTTATAGCATTTCAGTTTTTAAACCCACATCAGGCCCCATGAGGAATTAGGAAGGTTTTTGGGTCATTATTGTTTTGTTAATCTACTGGTTCAGGCTTATATTTACTGAGTAGGGCTGTGTGGTAATTCACTTCCCGGTGCTGAGAGATAGAACAATGATTCTATTTTTTTGTGATTTGTAGCAAGCATTTTTTAATGTTAAAACAAAGTATGCAGAATTATCAAACACGATTGGATAAAGAAAGATAGTGTTGCAAACTCTCTTGTGCGAGACTATATTGTGTAAATAGGAACTTGAAGAGGCACACTGAAATGGATTTACCACCGTTCAGATGCATTATACAGTCTGCAAAATCCTTATAATTTAGAGATAACGTGTCCCTCGTTTGCAGTAATTCCCGTTATCTATTTCTCTAGTGTTGTCCATATACAGTATATAGATAGTTATAATATATCAAAATACACTTAGAATTAAAAAAATTATAGCTGATTTTTTGTTTTGTTTTTTAATTATAAGTATTACTCATCACTGAACACGTGTGTTTTAGAGCAGTAAAACGTATAATGATGTTGATATCAATGAAAGTGCAGCTTTGTGTGAAAAATGCAAAAACCAAAAACAAATGAGCGCTAACTTTGGCCAGGGTTTGTGACTAAGTGGCTACTAAAAAGACAGGACATACCCCATTTTGAATAGCCTGGGTTGTCTACTTTTGCAAATAGTATGCCATGATGGGGGTAATTCTCGTTTCTGGGATGCCATGCGTGAAATTTCAATGTGTAAAAACTGAAATGGGTAAGCTCTTTATTTGACCCTGTAACTTGCCTAAACACAATGAAATCTGTACATGGAGGGCATTGTTGTACTGGGACATCACAGCTTTCAAATATGTGTGTTTTATTGCACTAAAAGATAACCATATTATGACATTTAGAGTTAAAATGCCATGCAGAATGTGAAAAATAAAATTTCTTAATTTCTCACACCTATTTATATTTGAAACATAATTTAATATGAAAAATATATAAAAAAATTGATGTGCAATGAAAGCCCGGTTTCTCCTGGACAAAATTATATGTGTGTGTGGGTGCACTTAATATGAAAGAGGTGGATTACGATTGAACAGACAGCTCAGATTTTGGGTTTTGTTTTGGTTGAGAAGTTGGACAATTGCCTCCGTCCTTAAAGGACCACTATAGTGCCAGGAAAACATACTCGTTTTCCTGGCACTATAGTGCCCTGAGGGTGCCCCCTCCCGCCCGGCTCTGGAAAGGGGAAAGGGGTTTAAACTTACATTTTTCCAGTGCTGGAGAGCTCTCCTTCTTCTCTCCTCCTCTGTTCCGCCCCGTCGGCTGAATGCGCACGCGCGGCAAGAGCTGCGCGCGCATTCAGCCGGTCACATAGGAAAGCATTCATAATGCTTTCCTATGGACGCTGGTGTGCTCTCACTGTGAAAATCACAGTGAGAAGCACGCAAGCGCCTCTCGTGGCTGTCAATAAGACAGCCACTAGAGGATTAGGGGGAAGGCTTAAAGGACCACTATAGTGCCAGGAAAACATACTCGTTTTCCTGGCACTATAGTGCCCTGAGGGAGCCCCCACCCTCATGGACCCCCTCCCGCCCGGCTCTGGAAAGGGGAAAGGGGTTAAAACTTACCTTTTTCCAGCGCTGGGCGGGGAGCTCTCTGCCTCCTCTCCTCCTCCGTTACGCCCCGCCGGCTGAATGCGCACGCGCGGCAAGAGCTGCGCGCGCATTCAGCCGGTCTCATAGGAAAGCATTTACAATGCTTTCCTATGGACGCTTGCGTGCTCTCACTGTGAAAATCACAGTGAGAAGCACGCAAGCGCCTCTAGTGGCTGTCAATGAGACAGCCACTAGAGGAATAGGGGAAGGCTTAACCCATTCATAAACATAGCAGTTTCTCTGAAACTGCTATGTTTATGAAAAAATGGGTTAACCCTAGCTGGACCAGGCACCCAGACCACTTCATTAAGCTGAAGTGGTCTGGGTGCCTAGAGTGGTCCTTTAACCCATTCATAAACATAGCAGTTTCTCTGAAACTGCTATGTTTATTAAAAAATGGGTTAACCCTAGAAGGACCAGGCACCCAGACCACTTCATTAAGCTGAAGTGGTCTGGGTGCCTAGAGTGGTCCTTTAAGGAGTTAAAGTGAACCTGTCACTCAGCATGAGGGAAGTTTCTATGACATTTCTCTGTCACTAAATCCTTGGTCTTAGTCTCTCTGTGCCACTGGTATGCAGGTCTAATGCTGGGATTGAGTGACGGGTAGAGGAGAGACCATATTTTTTAATTATATTACATGTAAGTCCATACATATTGTAGAATTTCTACTAGGAACAATGTATGTATGATGTGTAATTTTAAGCCCACGTTTTCTTGGATTGGCCAGTACACTTAAAAGTTCCCACTAGACCAGCGGTTCCCAAACTGTGTGCCGCGGCACCCTGGGGTGCCGCAACGTGCACACAGGGGTGTAACGACTGGACCCCTGTAATGTTGGCCGGCTGGGAGGAAATGACAGCCTGTCACTTCCTCCCAGCATCCTGCAGGGAGGCAGCCTCAGTATGAAGAACTCCAGACCCCTCACTCCCACCAGCAGCAGGACTCCAAGCCACCCTCCTGGCACATAAGGTAAGCTAACGGAAGGGAGGCTGGAAAGTGTGTGTGTGTGTGTGTATGTGTATGTATATATAGTCAGTGTGCTTCTGTTTGTGTATGTGTCTATATGAATTGTTGTGTATTTATATGTATCTGTGTGTGTATGTATGTATGTATGTATGTGGTAGTAGTGTATTTGCATACAACCAAGCAGTCAAACACCAGCACAACATACAAGCACACTCCTGCAATCTAACTCACATTTTACATACACACACCCTTGCATTTAAACTAAAATAATATATATACAAACACACCCCTTTACTCAAACAAAAATACTTCACACAAATGTACATCTGCAATCAAATACAAACACCCCCCTGTATTAAAACACAATAACTATATACAAGCACCCCTTCAAGCACCAACACTTTACATTACACTATAGCGCCAGTAAATGCTGCAGCGCTGTACAGATATGCAACCTAAAAATTTTGACTTTGGGTGCTTTGGAAAAATACTGAAGTATTAAGGGTGCCTTGAACCTAAAAAGTTTGGTAACCACTGCACTATAAAACAAATGAAAGATCTCCTCCTGTGCATACATTAGTAATGTGTGTCACCAGTCTTATTTTAGAACAGTTCTCAAGTGAATAATAATGTCAGTGGGTCTAATGCATGTCTCCTTCAGTACATTATTGTACACAGTACTGTGTTAGAGATCTGGCATCTTTGCAGAAAAAGTAAACAATTCAGCAACATCTGTAAGGAGAGATTTTTCTATCTTAATTTATCACCACCCACACTGTACTTTGTCAGGAAAGCAGTTTCATATGAGCCGGGGGAGTATTCGACATATGTTTGCACAGTTAACTGAAGGCACTAGCACACATTAGCACAAGGAAAAGCTGTTGAAAATCCATTCAAGATCTGGTACTGAATACCTGATCTAGCTGCTCATACAATGTTATGGCCACACTTACTTGTAACTGATTGCTTGACAAAACCCTTACATATTAAAGGAACAATCCAATCATCATAACCACTTCAGCTTATTATAGTTTTTAATGTACTTGGAATAGTTCCTTGAACGTGTACCTTTTAAATCCTTAACATTTTCTTAATTTCTCTTGTTAATCTGCAATGCCCACACTCCGCCTCCCTCCAACAAACTTCATAACTTTATAGGGCCATTCAAGGCACCTAGAGTACTACAGCTCAATGAAGTGAGACAGGTTCACTTTAATGGAAACCCACCCCCATAGAGATTGAATATATCATTTATCATGTGGTTAATAAAATTACTGACCTCCTTTGTGTTACACTATTGCAACCCATTTTTCAGTCTCTCCTTCGTGCTCTGTAAATTGATTGACCCCGCGTAGGTACACTTACTCGGCAGAGCAGTTGACCTTCATAGAGCTGTCATATTAGCTTCATTGCCAGCGTCACAGCATCTCAACGGAGTGACATCACTCAGTCTGTTCCTGTAGACCTTGGGAGTCTAGCCAATGCTAGAAGTGCTGCCTAGGCAAGTAGCCATGGCCGCTAATGTGCATTCATTGTTCCTATGTTTGAGTAGTAAGAGGAGCGTCTGTTGAAGATCTCTCCTGCTTTCCCTGTTAGGTTCTTCTGATTTACAGGTCGAGAAGACACCTATTTTTAAATATTTTTTTCTTCCAATCTATACATTTGCTAAGAATACTGTTGGCACAATGTATCTATGGAATTGAATGTAATTTTTAAAACTGCACGCCGTATGAGACTAAAGTAGAAAATTATTTTAGAGATAAATGCCATATTAACTTTTGGAGGGTGTCTCCATGTTTCAGCTAAAAGCATGCAGACTACTAGGGATACCAGTAGTCACTCACTGCTACACACATTAAGTTACCTGTTGTAACATGAGAGTCAATAGAGAGGAATTTTTAAGAACACTTGAAGCACCATAATCACTATAATCCGCTGTAGTGGTTTTGGTTCCAGGTGGCTCTGTCCTACGGTGACTACAGACTTTGCAGTTTCACAATGCATCTGGCCTTCTCAAACAGGCTGTATGGGACCAAATTGTATTATCCAGGACCTTGCTCGCTGACAGAGCACCAATCAGTGTGTTCCTGCAGCAGCTGCACCTTTATTTACAGAGACAATAGCTGCAGTGGATGCTGCAATCGCGCCCGTTAGGACTCGAGGTATGTTATCAAACCGTGCTGATATGATTTGACATCTTACCTTGGGACAGCACCAGGGCACTCCTGGCACCATAGCAAGTATAGTGTACTGTAAAGGTTATTGTGCTTGGAGCGTTCGTTCAACTATATGCTGTTAATGAATTTCATATAAAAGCTAATTGTTGTCTCTGATAGCATGCAACTGCCTTAAGCTGCGTCTGATGCTCTTTATGCCCACTATGGGCTGGAAAAGAGGGCATGATGTTTGGAATACATTGGTTAAAAAATTATACTTTACAATAGGAGTAATAAATGCATAGTATATCCCTCCAGTGGATATTGAAAATGTGAGCACAGTAAAGGAATGATGACCGGTTGGTTCTTAACTACTATTATGTTTCTTTCTCTGTTACAAACTCAATGTGTATCCAGAGCAAATTGTGTGGTTTGATTTAACTTTATTAAAGGACCACTATTGTGCCAGGAAAACATACTCGTTTTCCTGGCACGATAGTGCCCTGAGGGTGCCCCCACCGTCAGGGACCCCCTCCCGCCCAGCTCTGGGGAGATAAAAGGGGTAAAACTTACCTTTTTTCCAGCGCCGGGCGTGGAGCTCTCCGCCTCCTCTCCTCCCATTCGGCTGAATGCGCACGCGTGGCAAGAGCTGCGCACGCGCGGCAAGAGCTGCACGCGCATTCAGCCGGTCTCATAGGAAAGCATTCATAATGCTTTCCTATGGACGCTTGCGTGGAATCACGCAAGCGCCTCTAGCGGCTGTCAATGAGACAGCCGCTAGAGGATTTGAGGGCTGGATTAACCCATTTATAAACATAGCTGTTTCTCTGAAACTGCTATGTTTATAAAAAAAAAAAGGTTAATCCTAGAGGGACCTGGCACCCAGACCACTTCATTAAGCTGATGTCTATGGTTACTGTAGTTAGCCAAACTAATATTACAGTGTTCTTTCTATGAATGAGAAGTGTTCTCTGCTGCAGAGTTTTTAATACAGACCTCTTACTCCCCTTGTGTGTACCAGAGTATAAACATGAGCCCAGAAATCCTTTCTTATGTTAAAGCTGAAAGTTGTTCTAATAGAACCCTTAATGAATTTCTAGTGGGATACAATGTGGCTGACAGACCAGACTCCCGGCGCTCACCCCACAATGTGGTTACTGGTTGGAAGGCTTACCTTTTTATTTTAATTGCTTTATGACAATACCAGCATTTTCTCGCTGAGCCCATATCTGATGAAGATAATCCATAAACATTTCAACAGATGCGTTTATTTGAAGAGATTATAATTGATTGTGTAGAAAGATAAAAATCCTTGAGCCATTTCCAAGGGTTATTAATAAAAGATTAGTGCCTACTGGAAGCACAGTTTCCCCGCTGCTGCAGAAAGCAGAGCCCTGTTACCGTTGTGTTTTTTATTGGAAAGATTTTTTGATTTGTAATGCACAATGGAAGCATAGCACATTGAAGTCAGGGCCTCACTTGTAAATGCAAACAAAGCCAGTACAGACACCAAGCTATGTGCCACCCTAGATAGGAAGTTTGAAACAATAGACCCCGTTAGGAAAGCAGCCAGCCAAAATGTGCAGGGGCAACCCGGCCTGCAACCACTCTGCCAACACTATTTATTCTTCCTCCTGCAATTCATTTTCTATTATGCAAACCTAATTGTTTAAACGATTGCTGAGAATGTTTACACATGAATTGTTTTCGAAACGGAGTGCTCCTTAAAGATAGGGTGACCAGATGTCCCTGTTCTCAAGGGGAAATGCTCTGCTCTGGACCTCGTGCGTTTGAGTAATATAATAATTTGTCTATAGAGATGCCCACTGATCCATAGTGAAATGTCAGGACAAAGCATGTCTAAAAACTAATGTGCTTTGCTGATGTCACTGTCATGAAATGGTATTGGAAAACGGCTCCATTGTGGATATATCCATAGGCAGATGCACTTTAGTGAGGCGTGTTTATAATGGTCTGAAATACTGAAACTGACTAATGCATTAAATATTATCCCCGATTTTTTTTTTTTTTTTTTTTTTTTTTAAATCAACTGAATTAAAGGAGTAGTATGCTACAAGATATCCAGTTTTAATAGATAACCCTGATAATGCATTATAGTGTGAAAATAAATGTAATTGTAATAATAGGAAACAAAGGTTATCATTCGAAGTGCTAAAACTACTGCAGTGCAGAAAGTGTTATTTAGCAGGCAGAATCCTTCCAGGAAAAGACTGCACCAGGAAACTCTCCATTTGATGTATGGAATGTTTGTTCAACCATTAAAACCATGTCTCACAGGATAAGCAGTTAATTCCCCAGCTGCAGTTCCACTCATCCTATAGGGTGGGTGGAAATGATCAATAAGCTGCTATAGGTCAATTCACATCCCTTTTCAAACTTCTGTATCACCTGCGTATTGACATCTTGAAGACCATTGACTTCAAGTCAATTATAAAGCAATTCTCTGCAAAGAAGTTTCGCAAAATATTTGAACACTTGATTAATAATAAATAATTCATAGTAATTTCTTATAGTGTGCCTTCTATGTCTGTATGATTTACCCACAAAGTTCAATTTTAATGTTGAATTTCTTGTTTCTTAACTTCACGGCTCATGTTATAGTGTACAAACATTTGTGTGGATTAAGCTTTGCTGTGCAGTATGTTATTTAATGTTTTTAAATACTGATTTTGTTGAAGGTACCAATAAATATAAGCTTCATTTTATTGATAATTAGCGTTTTTATTCCTACGAGTGGTTGTGTAGGCAGGGCAGTTAAGAAGGCCATGGCATATCGGTATAAAGGCCAAACCTTCCTCATACTGCAGTACAAAGAGGGAGCAGCCTTGGGATGCCAGAACCACAACTTTGGGAATAAATGTTTACAAAACATCTTAACACCTGAATACTGTATAAGCACAAGTTATTTGAGTTTAGTTGTTATGAGGGAGTGTTCCTTGAATGCCATCTGATCATTTTCCCTAACTCTTTTTTTCTGTATTACATGTATATTCATGGGACATTTCTTGAATGCAGGAAATAATGAACGGCCGGGAGATGAGACACAAAGTCGATCCATAGTAACCATGTCTGCAAGCACCTCTCAGAATTACCTTTTGGGGTCGCAGTCCTGGACTCTATAGCATAAATATCTTTAACCCTCGACATCCATTCCAGGAGAACGAGAGCAGATGGTTGTTGCAACATAGTCTGGATAAGGGTGTTAGCTGGATTTAATAAGGCTAAAGTTTCATTCGGGATGTGGTATGGTGCAAGACCATCGACAAGACAGTTCTTTCCTTGACCTTTCACATTTTTTTCTTTAGATGATTTTTGTTTTGTTTTTTTTGTTTGTTTTTTAAATATAATTCTGCTCTAACATCATCCTGTTTTCCTCTGCCTGTGTTTTCATTTTGAGTGATCATTCACAGAGCAGTTCAGTCAGCCATCTTTCACGTGTTTTAAATGTGTAAACATGGTTTGAATTAACAGTTCTGAAAGTTGTTAAACAAGCAAAATAATAATGGTCAGAACTCCACAATGATGTCCAGGGTATATTATATCATAGTGAACAAGGAAAAAAGGAAACCGCGCCCTTATTGTGATACGAATATACGTACTCAAATCCTTATGGTCATATAATTTCAGTAATATACCTCAAAAAGAGAAACATTTACAAAATAATAGTGTAACACTGTAAATAATTCGTAGATAAACGAAGGATAAATAGATGTTCACTCACATTTGTCAGAGCTACATACAGAGCTCTACTGTTCTTGCGCATAGACGGAATAATCCCCGTCTCTGGATAAGTGTGAAGTGGTCCACGTCTTGATGGTCTCAAACAAAGAACACATAGACAGGCAGAGGAATCCACATAGTGCAGTAGATACTAATACCTTTAAGATAATAAATGAATATAAAGTATCGTACTCACATTTACTAGAGCGTGCCTCGCTCTAGTTTATAAAGTGTAGGTGGTATAACCCCACCAAGGAATAAGATGGTAACCAGGAAAAAATAATAATGGATATCTCAGAGTGATAAAAAGTAATATAGCTGTTTATTATACATAAAAATCAAAATAAAAACAAATGTATAAAAAAAACACTGTGAGAAAGTCCATAAAAATCCACTTTACGCGTTTCACCTATGGAGGCTTCTTCAGAAGTCTGGATGGAGTCCTGGTAATGTCCAAATATATAGAGAATAATATTTAAAACAATTAACTACTTACTGTTTCCTGGTTTCATGCGTGCGTCATACCGGAAGTGACGCGGCGCCATCTTAGCCAATGATAAGCTAGAGGATATTGTCTGTTTTAGCCACCGGTGGAACGCACGCGTCATACCGGAAATGACGCGGCGTAACCGGACGCCGATATTCTATGCGTTCCACCAGGAGAACGCATGCCGAAAACGGCTTTTGTGATCTCATGGCAACTCTTGTATATCACAAATAAGGGCACAGTTCGCATGTATATGATGATAGATCAAATAGTTCATCAGATTAAATATTTTATACTTGTATAGCAGCAACCATCATATATCATTAATTCATCACAGTAACATAATAATTAATCATACAGTAACAGCAATAATGATTTTTCATAAATTTAGATGAAATTTAAAGTGACAGAATTATAATAGTGTCAGGTGCACTCACTATATTATAGTGCAAGAGCAGATCTTATAAAACAAAATCTAAAATAAAACCACAAAAGGGGACTATTAGAAAAAATAAAATCTATAAATAAACTTCTAAAAACGTCAAATATAAAGTGCAATGACATATCTTCCAATTATAAGTCTATTTATATATGGGGGATGAATACATCTTAAAACTGTAATATATTTTGTATATATATGATAATGTTTGGGAAGCAAAATTCAAATAGGTTATGGTGGGGAAAAATTGTGATTGAAAACCCCTTCCACCTGAAGTATGTGGATAGTTAATACAATGCTAAACAAAAATCTGCACATCAGTCAAGCCATAAGACTTGCTTTTCCCACAGAAATCCCAAATCAGCAGTGATGTTACAACCGCAAAGGATTCTGGGTGGGCATATGCAAATTAGTTTAACATACATTTTTGCATATGCCCACCCAGAATCCTTTGCGGTTGTAACATCACTGCTGATTTGGGATTTCTGTGGGAAAAGCAAGTCTTATGGCTTGACTGATGTGCAGATTTTTGTTTAGCATTGTATTAACTATCCACATACTTCAGGTGGAAGGGGTTTTCAATCACAATTTTTCCCCACCATAACCTATTTGAATTTTGCTTCCCAAGCACTACCAAGCCTCACTAAGCAAACCAGTAACCAACCTCATGCTGAAGAGTTGCATTAACAACGAAACAGCTGTCCATGAGTGGTTCACTGGTTTTGCATCTTATCCTAAATTGTGTTCCAAGCAGTTGTATACTGCAAACACAAATTAAAAGGAATCCATGTTTAAAATGGAATGAGGCAAAAATGTGATTCTTTGTTAAACTAATTTGCATATGCCCACCCAGAATCCTTTGCGGTTGTAACATCACTGCTGATTTGGGATTTCTGTGGGAAAAGCAAGTCTTATGGCTTGACTGATGTGCAGATTTTTGTTTAGCATTGTATTAACTATCCACATACTTCAGTTGCTAATACCATGATAAATAAAAATAGTGCTAATACCATGATATATAAAAATAGTGCTAATACCATGATAAATAAAAATAGTAATCATATTGATATATAAAAAAAACAAAACATGCTTAAATATGGAGATATATATATATATATATATATATATATATATATATATATATATATATGTGTGTGTGTATATATATATATGTGTGTATATATATATATATATATATATATATATATATATTGGAATAAAAATCCATAAAAAAGAATTAAAAAATTCAAAAGGTCAAAATCTATATTTAGTCCATTAGGATGCAAAGTATCAATTTTAAATACCCATTCCATCTCCTTTTGGCCTATTTTTTTGATAAAATCACCTCCTCTCCAATGGTTTACTACAGTGATTCCTATAAATGTAAGAAATTTGGGATCGTTATTATGCTTACAGAAATGAGCAGACACTGAATGTTTATCATAGTTCTTTTCAATATTTCTACAGTGTTCTGCTATACGTCTTTTTAAAGGTCTAATGGTACGACCAATATATTGGAGGCCACAAGGGCATTCCAATAGGTAAATAACATTTTTACTTTCACAGGAGATGGTTTCTTTAATATTGTAGATCTTATTATTATTATTTGATTTAAAAGTAGACCTTCTCTTTTCTGTTGGTTTAGTTTTTTTGCAAGCTATACAGTTATTGCATTTAAAAAAAAAACATTGGCGAGGGGTGGAAAATTCTTAGTGTGTGTGCTTTCTGCTTGGTCTTTAGTATAATTATTTGTTAGGTGCATTTTTAAATTTGGAGCACCTCTGAAGACAATATGTGGTTTGTTGGGAATCATATTTTTAAGGATAGGATCCTCTTAAAAGATGCCAATGTTTATTCATTATTCTTATTAGATGTTTGTTTTTGTCATTATAGTCCAATACTATAGGTAAGTTGACTTGATTCTGTTGATGAGGCTTTTTTGTGTATAAGCTCTTTTTGGTTAATTCTTAGCGTTTGTTGTATGGTAGACTCTATCAGATCTTCATTATAACCTTTATTTGTCAAACTGTTTTTGATTTTATTAGCCTGTTGTATAAAAACTGTGTTATCCGAACAGTTTCTCCTGAGTCTAGTAATTTGGCTCTTTGGAATGCTATTAAGCCAGGCTTTATTGTGACAAGTTGTTAAACAAGCAAAATAATAATGGTCAGAACTCCACAATGATGTCCAGGGTTTATTATATCATACAAACAAAGGGGAAACATTTCAACAACCTAAAGTGCCTCTCAATGATTTAGGGTGTCAAAATGTTTGGTGGAATGATCTATAGCTGGAAATCATGGGAGAGTGCTAAGTATCACTATTGTATTGCTTATTGAAGTTTAGAATAGGGGCTTATATCTCAGCGCATCTGCACCTGGATTTGGGGACTTTTCCACAGGAGTGCCTGTTGTGTGTTATCTCTTGTTTATGTACTCTCCTTGAATATTGAGCATTTTTTTGCTCTCTGAAAGTATTGTACCTGTTATCAGGGAAGTAGAGATGGGGGAGAGGATTTCAGCAGAAAAGATGACACCTGTCATGAAGGAGTAGGCAGATCAGTTATGTTAACAAGGTTGTACAGATACCAGGAAATCATGCAGGTTTCTTTTTCCGTGACATGTGTCTTACATTTTATGCATACATTGCGTCCTCCTCCATAGGATTAGATTAACAGTTAATCTTCTCTTGTACATTAGTTCCCATTGCCCATAAACAACCTTTTTTTGACAATCTGCCCAAATACCTTGATACCCTTAGAATCTACTCATTCATTCTAAGAACCTGGAAATTTGCCCAAACACTCTGTGATTCATTTGCAAATTTTAAAGCAAAACATCTGCAATTGAAACATTCTACTCCTCTATTTATCCAGCTTGTCAGTGTATTAAAGGAACACTCCGAGCATCGTAACTCCTACAGACCAGCTTAGCTGAATGGAGCCACCTGGGGCTTCTCCTTCAGGAGTAGACTGAAAGTGACACAGGCATCGAGATGGCCCAGGTAATCTGTCAAACTATTCGAAACGGTTTGACAAATTACACTCGGACCGCTCCTGGCACCATAACCACTGCAACAGGCTGTATTGGTTATGGTACTTGGCATAATACTTTTTAATTTATAGTAACTTTTTTTTCCCACGAGCCGTGTGTGAGAAGCAGCGCCATACCCTGAACATCTAACATCACCCTCAGTCAGTTAAATAATGGCTAGTGGTGGTGGGAGTTGTAATCCAAGAATGGAGAGATGCTGAAAACTGTTCATTTTATTTTTATCTCCCTTCCCCTCATGTTCACCTGTAGCTCGACTTGCAATGTTTTTGTATCCACACTTTTATGCTCAGCAAAATCAAGGAAGGAGATGGGTTCATATTGGCAACTTTAGATGACTTTGCCATCTGTGCACCTCTGAGTGATGTGTTACAACCAATTCATACTTAATCTCTGGTGCACAGGAGAGCAAAATTGCACCTGGTCTACCAGGTAGCATCTGGTAGGAATGACAGGAGTGACAAGAGTGTTGTCAAGTGATGGGGATATCTAGAGATAGAAGTCCATACTCCCTCGAGTGTTTTCATGCTGTGTTTATACAACTGGCTTTGACAGTGTCCCTTGTTCTTTAACTCAATTGGTGGTTGTCTAAGTTGCCTGTATAGCCAGGTCAGTTGGTCATGGACCAGCAGTTGTGCTTATTTTGAATACACATGCTCACATACTTGTATTATATCTTTTAATTTGATCGGTACCCCAGAGCTCCTCAACATAGGATTTACAAAAGTATTTTTTTCTCCCTATCCTACTGCATATCTTTAACAACAGAAAACTATATTTGCAATATGTGATACGCAAGCTGTTCACTGACACATGAGATTTCACTTAATCCTCGTTTCCTTCTGTTTTCAGAGCGGTAAAGAAGAAGCCAGAGCCAACAGACTATACCAAAATGAAGCAGGCACAGAAGCGCAAGATCATGTGAGCATATCGAACCACGTTCCAATGGTTGGGTGGCTTAGTGTGATGGGTTCAAGTGTTATGGATAAGAATGGCAGCTATGTTTCAAACTGTTGATTTGATGATTATTTTGTACCCAGGCCTGGCCTAGTGGGGATATGCTACATACCAACCACTGACATACACTTAAGGAAAAAAGTATTTGATCCCCTGCTGATTTTGAATGTTTGTCCACTGACGAATGATCAGTCTATCATTTTAATGGTTGGTGTATTTTAACTGTGCGAGACAGAATAACAAAAATAAATCCAGAAAAATGCATGTCAGAAAAGTTATGAATTGATTTGCATGTCAGTGAGTAAAATTAAGTATTTGACCCCTTCGACTTAGTACTTAATGGCAAAACCCTTGTTGGCAATCACAGAGGTCAGATGTTTCTTGTTTTTGGACACCAGGCTTGCACACATCTCAGGAGGTATTTTGTCCCACTCCTCTTTGCAGATCCTCTCCAAGTCTTTAAGGTTTCGAGGCTGACGTTTGGCAACTCTAACCTTTCGCTCCCTCTACAGATGTTCTATGGAATTAAGGCCTGGAGGCTGGCTGGGCCACCCCAGGAACTTAGTGCTTCTTCTTGAGCCACTCCATTGTTGCCTTGGCTGTGTGTTTTGGGTCACTATCATGCTGGACTACCTACGACCCATTTTCAATGCCCTGGCTGAGGGAAGGAGGTTCTCACCCAAGATTTGATGGTACGTGGCCCATCCATCGTCCTTTGAAGCGGTGCAATGATCCTGTCCCCTTAGCAGAAAAACACCCCCAAAGCATAATGTTTCCACCTCCACGTTTGATGGTGGTGGGGATGGTGTTCTTGGGGTCATAGGCAGCATTCCTCCTCCTTCAAAGATGGCAAGTTGAGTTGATGGTAAAGAGCTCAATTTTGGTCTTATCTGACCACAACACTTTCACCCAGTTCTCCTCTGAATCATTTAGATGGTCATTGGCAAACTTCAGACGGGCCTGTACATGTGCTTTATTGAGCAGGGGGACCTTGCTGGCGCTGCAGGATTTCAGTCCTTCACGGTGTTATCATGTTACCAATTGTTTTCTTGGTGACTGTGGTCCCAACTGCCTTGAGATCATTAACAAGTTCTGGACTGATTCCTCACCATTCTCATAATCATTGAAGCTCCACAAGGTGAGATCTTGCATGGAGCACCAGACCGAGGGAGACTGACCGTTAGTTATTTTGTGTTTCTTCCATTTGCAAATCATTGCACCAACTGTTGTCACTTTCTCACCAAGCTGCTTGGCAATGGTCTCTTTAGCGCATTCCAGCCTTGTGTAGGTCTACAATCTTGTCCCTGACATCCTTGGAAAGCTCTGTGGTCTTGGCCATGGTGGAGAGTTTGGAATCTGATTGCTTCTGTGGACAGGTGTCCTTTATACAGATAACGAGTGGAGATTAGGAGCACTCCCTTTAAGACAGGGGGTTCTCAACCCAGTCCTCAAGGACCCCCGAACTATCCAGGATTTAGGGATTACCCTGCTGTGTCTAATGTGTTTTTTGGGGGGGAGGGAAAACAAACACTTTAGACACAACAGGGTAATCCCTAAATCCTGGACTGGTAGGGGGTCCTTGAGGACTGGGTTGAGAACCCCTGCTTTAAGAGATTGTTTCTAATCTCAGCTTGTTACCTGTATAAAAGACACCTGGGAGCCAGAAATCTTGCTGATTACTAGGGGATCAAATACTTATTTCACTTATTGACATGCAAATCCATTTATAAAGTTTTTCTGGATTATTTTTTTTTTTTGTGTGTGTGTGTTTGTTATTTTGTCTCTCACTGTTAAAATACACCTACTATTAAAATTATAGACTGGTTATTTCTTTGTCAATGGACAAACGTTCAAAATCAGCAGGGGATCAAATACTTTTTCCCCCTTATTGTATGTTAACAATGGAATGCTTATGGGATGCTTTTTTATTTTATTTTTTATGTGTGTATATATAAATATTTTAAATAAACAGGTCTCTTAAACATTGAGTGTTGAATATAAAATTCTATTCTAAAGTTGTAAAATACTACTAACTTGAAATAACACAATTCAGACCTGTTTCAGACAAGTGGGGCTGAGAGATAATCGCAAGGGAAAAGTAATACTCAAAGAATGGAGTCAACTGGAAAAGGGACAACATGGCAGAAATCAGAGCGAGATCAAGTATTCTGGAGGCAGCTAAGGAAAAGTCTATGTATATGTGGCAGGATGGTACAGAAAATAAGTCAAGGGAAACATCATTGGGGAAGAGAGAGACAGCAAGTAGCAGCAGATTGGATAATCAAGAAAATGTATTAAAAAAATGTGCAGTCTACAAAGGGCTATATAGAGCAGACAGGATGGAGTAGTTGAGGTTAAAGAGGGTACAGATTGGTGGAAACACTAGTTTGGGATGTGGGGGACACAATGTATAGACTCCTAACTAAGACAGTGTGCATACTTGTCTCCATGTTGATCATCTGTATATAACTATATACTATACACACACAGAAAGGAGTGTCTGTAAATGTGATTGAAATTTTGGGATATATAGTTTTAAACTCATGTTTAACTTGGCAAGTTGTAATATACAAGGCTTTCTATAAATGGTTGTGTGCTGTGCCTGCTGCATTCACAATCTATTTGCGGGTTGTCTCATGCTGCATATACCATCACTGATTTGTCCCTCTGGAATCAAACAAAAGAGATGGATCAGCTGTTAGCAGCTGGCAGGCAGCCGTCTGAAACGTTCTGGGATTTATTGCCATGCTCCAAACCTCCTGGAAAACCGATGGGAAGCCATAGGAGACATTGTGAGACAGTTTGAGAATATTACTCTGCTCCACAGGCAGCATTTTAAAAGATATTTTTAAAAATTCCACATTTTTAGGGAAAATATCTTGATTTTGCTGTGTGCTAGATGTCGACACTCACATTCCATTTGCTATAAATTGATCATTATTCAGAAGAAATAATTAGCCTTCATATAAAATAAATATTTTAGAAATGCTGTTGGCTTTACACTTGCTATCATGGGAAAGCTGGCAAAGAGGTTGCAATTGCCTCCTGCTAGTTAAACCTTGTGTGGATTTAACAAGCAGGAGGTACATTGTGATATCTGTTGGCACAGTACTGCAGGAGTGAGGCAGCAGGTAAGAATGGAGCATGGTTCTTGCTAGTCCAGCACTGTGTAGGGTTGTGCATTGGATGGTGACCTGTGATCATCATGTTATGATGGCCTGGACTGACCAACGGGGACATTTCCTGAGAGACTGTAATATCTGGGGCTGATCAGTCTTCCAGTCTCTGGTACAAATGACAGATTAATAAAACAGTTTGGCTATTACTGGTGACAATGGAGTCAAAGGAAATAGTCCATAGATCTCTTTTTAAATGCTCAGTTATGCTTCACAGGTCTTGCTTATGGAGGCTACAGGAGCTTATGAAGTTACACATCTTAATTCCAGAAGCCTCAATTTGTTTTATTAGTATATTGTGTGCTCCATGGGAGTAGGACCATCTACACGGAGAGCTGTGAGTAATAAAGTTATTTATTTGTACTCGCCAGCCGTCTCCCATAGCAAAGGGTACAGATTGGTGGAATCAGTAGTTTGGGATGTGGGAGGCACAATATATAGACTCCTAAATAAGGCCGTGTGCATACTTGTCTCATCTATCGCCCCCAGTCATCCAAGGCTATTCATTGAACACTTTTTCTCCTCTAGCACTCCTTCCCTCATACTTGGGGACTTTAACATCCCAATCAACAACCTCAACTGCCCTGATGCCTCCCGTCTGCTCTCTGTAACCTCCTCCTTCGGCCTCACACAGTGGTCTACTTCAGCAACTCATACAGTGGGAAACACTCTTGACCTCATCTTCACTAATCTCTGTACAACCTCTAATCTCTCCAATGTTCAGTTTCCTCTATCTGATTGCCATCTGCTGACCTTTGACATCAGCATACCCCTTACCCACATTTCATCACCCTTATCTCCAATCTCGCAGAAACCTTCACTGCCTTAAACTCCAGCATTTCTCCTCCAAACTCTCCTTTTACTCATCTCAAATCTCACCTGCCCTAATTCTGCAACCTCACTCTACACTCCACTCTCTCCTCTCAACTAGACATCATGGCACCTCCTACATTTAAAGGCAGCAAGCGTTCCAAATTACAAACTTGGCACACCACGCTGACCCAATATCTCAATTTTTTTTTTCCAGAACTGCTGAACGCTGTTAGAGAAAGTCTCACTCTGCACCTGACTTCCTCCACTATAAATTTGGTCCATGCCGTTGTTCTTTCTTGCCATTACTACTACAATCCCCTTCTCAGTGGTCTTACATGTTCCCAGATTGCACCACTGCAATCTATAACGAATGCGGTGGCAAAGCTCATTTTCCTTTCCGCATGCACCTCCCACGCCTCCCCCCTCTGTCAGTCCCTACATTGGCTTCCAGTTAGATATAGGGCTCAATTTAAGATTCTGGTGTTTGCTTAAAAGTCCCTTCATAATGCTGCTCCAACCTACCTATACTCTCTAATACATAATTATATCCCGTTTAGGCCCCTCCGCTCTGCCGAAGACCTTTGTCTATCCTCTGTCCGTACTCTGAAGCTTGCCTCCAAGACTTCTCCAGGGCTGCACTTTTCTGTGTTCTCTGTTAGACTTTCACCCAGTCTCCACTCCTTCAAAAAATCTTTGAAAACACACTGCTTCAGGAAAGCATATCATTTAAACTGTTAGCAGGTTTTTATTTCCCCCACCCCCCATGACCCTCTCGTGCAACTGTCAAAAATAAATTAAGTTCCCCGTGAATACTTTTCTAGCAACCTTTTTCATTACCCCTACTTATACCCTTTGTGTCACTATACCCCACTCCCTCTTGCATGTAAGCACATTGAGCAGGGCCCTCATCCCCTCTGTTCCTGTGCTTCCATTTGTCTGGTTACAAGAGAATTTGGGATATATATGTCCCTTTTGTCTGGAAGAATGTCTAGACTACAGGGATATATTCTACTCTTGTCATATATATCTTTTTTGTACAGGAGCCTGGATTTGCTGTTTATACATGAATAGACTTAACAGTTATGATGACCCCTTAATCTAGATTTCTGCACATGTGAATGGTTTGTCTCTTTTTGCATCCAATACTAAGGACAATAATCCATGAATGCTTATATTAATAACAGTGTATTTAACCAGGAAAGGTACATTCGGATTATTCTGGTTTCCAAGTACATCCTGGGAAATGCTAGAATACTAATAGAATGATGAAAGGAGCCAATCAATGCCTGTAGGCAGGCATTTGTACATGTGGAATTCAAAACACCATAACAACTTATGCCATTTGCATTGGTTATGGTGCAAGAAGGTCCCCTGTCTCCCTGAACATTCTTTTATAACTGAAATTATTCATTAAGAATAAGACCTGGCAGATGAGAATACTTCAGGCATGACCATACTGCAGTCATTGTAGGAAGGAGGAGAGAGGGGTGCGGATATAGAGCTCCTAATTCTCAAATCCTGAAGCCTGAAAGTGGGTTGCTGTTCTTTCAAATACCCAGGCCTATAATTTAGTCCTAGCCTGGTCCTGTAGGCAGCCTATTGTTGGTTGCCGTTAAATACTTGGTTTGTACACCAAGATGTGTGCGTGTCTGCTGTTCAATCTCCCAAGGGTGGTAGAAATGAGCAAGGGTATGTATGTTCTCATTCTGTCAGACTGAAACCACCTGGGAAATCATACAAATACTATCAGCTGGGGAGGTGTCTCTGGAGGCTTATACTGAATTCACTACACCTCATTCTTATCAAAATGTTGTGATCTCCAAAAGATAATAAGGGTAGCCTACATTTACTTGTGTGCTCAAGGCAGATTAAAATGCGGATATATAACATTTTGTGATTCACATCACCTCTCATCCCTCTACAGTTTGCTTTGGACAGCACACACATTTTCTTTGGCTGTCGGCCTTTGAATTTTATGAACGTTATGATTTCAGAGGCCCCAGGGAATCAGAGCCACTTCTTAGTCATAACAGCCCATGTGCAGTGCGAGCTTGCACAGCTGCCACAGCCAGAGTACTGATCAACTGCATGTACTGGGTGCTCACCGTACTGTCTCAATTGCATATCTTTCTCTTGAACATTTATTAATGTGACCTGCAGTAGGTCAATACACAGAACTGTTTTTAACAGGCATAGAAATGATTGGATATAGTTTAATATTTATCTGAGGTTAATTAATGGAAATAACATGTACTGAAACTCTGAACTGAAAGCACAGAAAACCAAAATAGGAATAATTATCACATATCGTGCTAAAGTAAATCTAAGTGCATTTAAAATGTGATGCTACAACCCAAATAACGCAGATTAAATAAGTGATTCATAGCCATTTTTGGTTGGGTCATATAACCCTGTGTGTTTATAGTCTAATGTCATGCACATAAGTGGGAGTCCCTTTCTTTAATTGTAATGCAGAATGTGGCTTTTCCAGTCATTGGCAATCTAGTTCTGGGGCACGAACCAATGATATAATAAATAACTGAGAATATTTTGATTTGAGTGCCAATAAGTAGAGTTTTGCATAAGAGTGCTAGCCCCAATGTGTTCAGAAGGTAGAATGGGCTGTTTCTCAGTTTCATTACTTAGTTGAAGCTCCTTTTGGCAGAGACTAAAACCTCAAGTCTTTTTGGATCTGAGACAACAAGCTTCGCAGTCTGGATTTAGATAGTGTCTGCCATTCAGATCTACAAATCCTCTCAAGCTCTGTCAGGTTGGATGGGGACTGTTGGTAGTCAGCCATTTCCAGGTCTCTCTAGAGATGTTCGATTGGGTTCATGTCTGAGTTCTGGCTGGACATTTTGGGAGTTGTCCCAAAGTCACTCTTGCATTGTCTTGGCTATGTGCTTAGAGTAACTGTCCTGTTGGATGGTGAATCTTTGGCCCAGTCGAGTGCTCTGGACCACCTTTTCATTAAGGATATCTCTGTATTTTGCTAAGTGCGGCATTCCCTTAACAGTCTCCCAGTCCACGCTGCTGAAAAACTCCCAAAAAGCATGCTGCTACCACCGCCATGTTTCACAGTTTGGATGATATTGCACATGGAGACTAGTTTCCTCTAGATATACTTCTTTGAATTGAGGCCAAACAGGTTCAATCTTTCTTTCAGATTGTAAGAGATGCTCTGGTCTTTATTTTGTAAACTCCAAGTGGGCTTTCATATGTCTAGCAGTGAGAAAGTGCTTTTGTCTGGCCAGTCTGCCATAATGGCCAGATCTGTGATGTGTTGCTTTAATGTTTGTTTTTCTGCAAGTTTCTCCCATCGCCACACTTGATTGCTGGAGCTCACCCAGCGCAACCATCAGGTCCTTGGTCCCCTCTCTTAGCAAGGCAATTATACCCCAATTGCTCAGTTTGGCTGGATGGCAAGCTCTAGGAAGGGTCCTGTTTTTTTCCAAATTTCCAGTTAAGAATTATAGAGACCACTGTGCCCTGGAAAGCCTTAGATACAGTAGATAATTATGTGTGCTTCGACACAATGCTGTCTTTGAGCTCTGCAGACTGTTTTCTTTGACCTCATTGCTTGGCTTGTGAGCTGAAATGCAATAACAGGTGTTAGACCTTGCATCAGGGCCGGACTGGCCCAACAGGATACCGGGAAATTTCCCGGTAAACCGTCGGCACCTGGGGCCGGGCAGACACCTGGGACTGCTGGCGGCTGCTGGGGGACTTGTGCTGACGGCCGCTGGGGGAAGTCTGATGGAGGCCGCTGGGGGACTTGTGCTGGAGGAGCTGTTCTGTCTCTGCTCCCCAGTGCGCAGCTTAATGAGACGGTGGCCGGAATATGACGTCATATTCCGGCCGCGGTCTCATGCAGCAGCACGCGAGGGTGGGAGAGCAGAGCCAGCGCAGCTCCCCCAGCAGCCGCCAGCACAAGTGTCCCAGCGGCCGCCATCAGACCTCCGCCAGCACAAGTGCCCCAGCGGCCACCAGACTCCAGCACAAGTCCCCCAGCAGCCGCCAGCACAGACAGCCGTCTGCACTGCACGACCCCCTGGCAGGTAGTAGTAATGTGTGTTATGGTGTGTCTGTCTGTCATGGTGTGTGTCTGTCTGTCATGGTGTGTGTGTGTGTGTCTGTCTGTATGGTGTGTGTGTCTGTCTGTATGGTGTGTGTGTCTGTCTGTATGGTGTGTGTGTGTGTCTGTCTGTATGGTGTGTGTGTGTGTCTGTCTGTATGGTGTGTGTGTGTGTGTCTGTGTGTATGGTGTGTGTGTGTGTGTCTGTCTGTATGGTGTGTGTGTGTGTGTGTGTCTGTCTGGTGTGTGTGTGTGTGTGTGTGTGTGTGTCGGGGTGTGTGTGTGTGTGTGTCGGGGTGTGTGTGTTTGTCTGTATGGTGTGTGTGTGTGTCATGGGGTGTGTGTCTGTATGGTGTGTATGTGTCTGTCATGGGCTGTGTGTGTGTGTGTCTGTCTGTCATGGGGTGTGGGTGTCTGTTTGTCATGGGGCGTGTGTGTGTCTGTCTGTCATGGGGTGTGTGTGTCTGTATGGTTTGTGTGTCTGTATGGTGTGTGTGTCTGTCATGGGGGGGTGTGTGTGTCTGTCATGGGGTGTGGGTGTGTGTCATGGGTGTGGGTGTGTGTCTGTCTGGGTTGATGGGTGTCTGTCATGGGGTGGGTGTGTGTCTGTCATGGGGTGTGGGTGTCTGGTGTGTGTCTGTCTGTATGGATTGTGTCTATTATGGATGGGGTTCTGTCTGTCGTGGGTCGTGTCTGTCTGTCGTGGGGTTGTGTGTGTGTCCTGTCTCGTGGTGTCTGTGTGTCTGTCGTGGGTGTGTCTGTCGGGATTGGGTGTGTCTGTCGTGGGGATGGTGTGTCGTCGTGGAGTTGTGTGTCTGTCATGGGTGTGTCTGTCTGTCTGTCGTGGAGTTGTTGTTGTGTGTGTCCTGTCTGTCATGGGTTGTGTCTGTCTGTCGTGGGTTGTCTGTGTCTGGGTGTCGTGCATCATGGGTCATGTCTGTCTTGGAGTTGATCTGTCTGTCATGGGTGTCTGTGTCTGTCTGTCATGGGGGGGGGTGTCTGTCTGTCATGGGGGGTGTGTGTGTCTCCGTCCGTCTGTCTGTCATGGGCTGTGTGTCTGTCATGGGCTGTGTGTGTGTCTGTCATGGGCTGTGTGTCTGTCTGTCTGTTTCATGGTGTGTCAGTGTGTCTGTCTGTTTCATGGTGTGCATCTGTCATGGTATATGTGTGTTTAAAAAGTGTTTTTGCTCACCTTTTTTTTTCCCCACGCAGCATGCTGGTCTCCCCTCAACTGGCCCTGCCTCAATGGCTGAGATCATCAAGCTTGATGATCTCAGCCAATCCAATGCTTTGCCATAGGATTGGCTGCAAAACGCTTCACCAATCAGCATCTCTTCATTGAAATGCATTGAATCAATGTATCTCTATGGGGAACGTTCAGCGCCTCCAGAGTGTGGAGGCCCTGAATGTAGGTGCACTGACACAGGAAGCACATCTAGTGACCGTCTGAGTGACTGTCACTAGTGGTGTCACTTTGAAGCAATGTAAACACTGCCTTTTCTCTGAAAAGTCAGTGTTTACGTTAAAAAGCCTGTAGGGACATGCTGTAGACACCAGTACCACTACATTAAGCTGTGTGTGTGTGTCTGCTAGTGAGTGAGCTTGCTTGCATATGTGTGCCTGCTAGTGAGTGAGCTTGTGTTTTTATGTCAATAAGCTGATGTATATCAGTGAGATTGTTTGTGTCATTGAGATGTCACTGTCTGCATGTGAGGATGCTTACTGTATAATTAAACGTTTTACTCTGAAAGGACCAATATTTTATATTAGAAAAAGCAATATATATGTGTGTGTATATATATGTTTATATGTTTATTTTCCCAGGTCCCAGCACTCAATGTTCCCGGTCTTTTCCATGCTCCGGTGCAAGTAATCTCTGACCAATATATAGCATCCAAGTAGAGAGCACTCTGGAGTCTTCGTTTTATATCAAAATAAATACTGCTTTATTGTGCAGAATACAAAAATGTCGACATTTCAGTCACAATAGACTTTTCTCAAGACCTTGAGAAAAGTCTATTGTGACTGAAACGTCGACATTTTTGTATTCTGCACAATAAAGCAGTATTTATTTTGATATAAAACGAAGACTCCAGAGTGCTCTCTACTTGATGCTATATATATATATATATATATATATATATATATATATATATATATATATATATATATATATATATATATCTATATATATATCTATATCTATATCTCCGTCATCTGGGGTGGTAAGACATAGCCTTACATATTACATGCGACAATATATGGCGCAGTGACTTATGGGGCTGGCATAATATTTTTTTCCAGGGCTGCTTTGTATCCCCAGTCCGGCCCTGTCTTGCATAGACATGTGTGTGCCTTTCCAAAACTTGTCAAATTAATTGCATTTTCAACAGGTGTACTCGAATCAAAGAGTATAAACATGTCAACGCTATTCCAGAGAAATGGGATGCAACAGAGCTAAATTTCAAGTGTCATAGCAAAGGGTCTGAGTACTTGTGCCAGTGTAATATTTCAATTTCTTCTGTTTAATACATACAAGTTTGGGGTGGGTTTTTTTTGTGTGGTGTTTTTATTTTTTTCGAAAATGTTTTTGGTTTGCCCTTATGGGGTATTAGGTGTAGATCAACGTGAAAAAGAAAATTATGTAAACTATTGTAGCAAGGCTGCAACATAACAAATGATAAAGCTAGATATATAGATCTATAGGTAGATAATATGGTTTTATTATATGTAGTCAGGATATGGGATTAGTATATGAGAGGAAAACAAATACTCTCTCTTTAAGTTTGTTAGTTTTCACAGTTCTATTTTAACATAATATTGCATGTCTCTTTATCACTATAATTTAAGTAAAAACACATTTTTGTTTACATTGAAAAAAATTGTAGAGCAGTTGTTAACAATAACCTATCGAGACTCAGATATATAGTAGCCTATATCCTCAATATTTTTCTACTTAACAGAGAGGAGGAAGTATCCCGGGTTCAAGAACTGATGAAAAACCCTTCCTTCAAAGCCAATCCTCTGGCCGCTGTGGGACAGCACCTTATGAAACGTATGAGAGAAGAGCAAGAGGGTAACCCAGGCTAAATCATCAAGAGTTTGGAGCTTTAAGAATACACCAGAATGGACAGCTAATCTTGTGAATGACTAACTGCACAGCTCTGATGCATTATGGAGTACTTGTAATTGTATTTTAAAGTGTGTTTTCTCATTGGAGATTCCATTTCCAAGCTACAAACCCCCTATACTCCAGTCTCTGTCAGATCTTTACTCCTTCCTAAACTGAATAGGATAACCCTGAATGCTGAATTTTTTCTGTGCCTTCGTCAAGCTCTTGCAATGCCCGTGACAGAAACTATGTGATAAATGTTATTTACAACCTATGAAATAAAGCATACCCCTTGGTAAGTCGGTGTAAATAATCACAACTAGCCTTCTTATTGGAATGGCTGAACCGTGGGCCAGTTACTCAAAAGCCATCCTAACTCAATATTTCCTTTTAGTGGGTGTGAATATTCACAGGTAAATATTGCAATGTTACAAATATATATAAGTAAAATATCGTATATATTTAACCCCATCCATGAAAAATCCTGGAAATACAGATTCCACTTGTGTGATGAATCAAAATCCATAAACTGGTTTGAAATAATGTGTGCAAGGTTTATAAGTTTAATCAAATTTATTTGAATTGTGTAATGTGTGCTTCATTAAGGCAACTTGTTAAATAAATCATTTGTTTACGTTTCTGCACACAGTCCGATTGTATGATTGTCGTTACATGGGTTAATGCTAATTTAGTTAATGGAACGGCCTCGCTACTCACATCAGGGTGAACTCTACAAACCATTACTGAAGATCAGAGTACATTCAGTAAATATGATGGCACACGTCAGAGGTTAGGCCTCCAGGCCCTTTTTTTGTGGTTTTCCTGAACATCTGCAACTTATTTTCTAAGCTAAGTGTTTGATTTATTACAGCAAGTCCGTTCCAGCTCCATCGCGGGTTCTTGAGCCAATCTATAAACTGGTTATATATTTCATATTAGGAGGATAATAAGCAAATGTACTGGTGCACAGTGGGCTTATATCAAGGGGTTAAAGCAGGTCAATGCATTGACTCGTGTTACAATCTAATGTGCTTATTTTAAAGTAAGAGTTGGAGAAAGAGCTGGAAATATCCAATATTTTCACTAAAATGTACAGTCCTGGAATGTGTTTATTTACAGGCTGGATATTAAAGCTCAAATATTGCATGTGTGGGATTTTCATCCACTATACAGCGGAAAATACCTCATGGCTTCTCCGTACATGTGCCCAGGGATATGCCATCCAACCTATGCCATCCAGCTGTTTTATCAGGACTTGCGATCACTGCGTTAACAAATTAATGTTACATTACATTGTCAGCTGGGGCAGGTGGCGTGCTGTGTTTATAATGGGAAAATGCCAAATTACCTACAAATAAAAAAAAAAAAGCATGTATTCAGAATTATCACACACACCTATATCTTGTAAAGGAACATATTCTTGCTTGGGGAGGGGGGGGGGGGTGTGGACGAAGCCTGACCCAGCGCTGAGGGACATCAGCACTGGATTCAGGTAAGTGACTGGCAGGGTTTTAACACCTTTTAAGTGACTGAAGTGGTTTTAACTGATATGTTTTCCTGGCACTGGAGAGTCCCTTTAACCCCTTAAGGACCAAACCTCTGGAATAAAGGGAAATCATGACATGTCACACATGTCATGTGTCCTTAAGGGGTTAAGATAGGATGGGACTTCTTTATAACTCTTGCAATCTGAAAAGCAGCACTGATGATTCAATAATCCAGTTATGTATTTCTTGATATGGAAAATCCAATTATGTTTTTAAATGGAGAGCAAAAAAGACCCTCCCACAGGAAATCCCTCTGCTCTCCACCCATAGCAATTACAGCACATGTATTGTGGTTGCACTGGAAACGCTAGGGAGTATAGGAACATAGTGATGTGACGACACAACGTTCAGATGCTGGTAATAAACCCTGCCTGCCAACATCACTGATAAAATTTACCCTACTTGGGCATGCGTACCAAGCAGGGCAAATCAAAGGAGACTTCAGGATGCGTGGAGAATGGCTCTGGGGCGGATGTTACACGAAGAGGAGGCGCAGACATTTCTGATGGCTGCCCTGGCCTCCTTTTATGGAATACATTGAGATGTTAATTGTCATTTAATAGCTCTTCTTGGACCAATCCACTTCACTCTTATTTTTTCCATTATGCTGTCATAACTTGGTGTCTAAGTAGGCAGTTTATTGCATGTAATCTTTACAAACGTTTTGTTTTTTTTAAGGGTTCATTTTTCAAAAATGTCTCTGGGTCAGCTCATTTAGAAAGTTTTCAGGTATTGTTATATATAAACTAAAATAATAGGCCCTGAGGTCTAGAATAAATAGTAATTGTTAAAATGACGCGATGCGTGAGTCCCAAATGGGAAAAATCTACATGAAGCATGAACCTCCTTTTGACTTTGATGAGATGAAAGAAAACCGTATGCAGAGAACCTTTTCATCTGTTGCGCTTCAGTAACTCGTGGAGGGCTTGGATGCTTAGTGAATGCAAATATTGTTTTCACTGAAGTAGCAAACTTTTAGACTTTGTTCCCACCAGACTTAAGATTTCTACATGGGAAGAAAAAGTTTCTACCTAACATTTTAACTGACATATAAAAGTTGGCTCTGTATAAATAACTTGTAATAGTACCACCGCTATCCATTGAAACCCCAGTCTCTGACGTGTACCCACAGTTCTTTTGCAAAGAAGGGGAAAGCATTGGAAATGGTAAGACTTCAGTAGGAGAGAGCAGAGAATTAGTTGTCGGGTGACAACAGTGGAAGAGAATGTGTCATGACAGGGGACATGGGTTGTTTGGGGCTGGGCAGTCTATGAACACCCTTCGTTTCAGTATCTGGAAATATATGTTTAAAAAGTTTATTATGTTAATCTTTATACACATACAGGATATCATACCAAATACATACACTCCTGTTCTTTTTTGGTTAGATCGATTTTATTTTTATTTTTTTTTATTTATTTTTTTGGTTTGTTTTAACCACTGAAAGACATTAAGAATCAAAGACTATTGATAAACTGCTGTGGGTGAGCATATGTATGTCCGATGTATAGTGATGTCCCGAACAGTTCGCCGCGGACTCATCATCGAGTAAACTTTGACCCTGTACCTCACAGTCAGCAGACACATTCTAGCCAATCAGCAGCAGACACTCCCACCTCCTGGACAGCTCACTAAGAATGCAGCTTCACAATGAATGTAAAATGGATGCTGTCCAGGAAGTGGGAGGGTCTGCTGCTGATTGGCTGGAATGTGTCTGCTGACTGTGAGGTACAGGGTCAACGTTTACTCAATGATGAGTCTGTGCCGAACCGTTCGGGACATCACTACCGATGTACCAAGTGCACTTTATCTTTGTTATACCACTTCCTAGGGAAACAACATTGGATGCTGTTTTCAAAAAGGTTTATGATTTAATTTTCATCCATGCTCTTGACTTCCTGCTGCATCTTACAACAGCCTCCTGCTCTGGAAATGAAAAGAGCACAGAGCGGCCGGTCTCCTGTCCACTACTCGACTCACAAGCAGCTTGGGTCTCGCTTTCCCCCCCTCTGGGCCGGTGGGGGTCATCCCGGTCCCCGCTGGGCTACATGCTAAGGTCCTCCTGGGTCAATGTGAACTGCCCACACGACAAACAAAATGCCGTGCAGAGACACCCAAGATGGCGGATGCGCCTATGATTCAAACGTGGATGCAACATCCAACTGAACTAACTGAAGCACTAGGTCAATTTGAAACACGATTGGATGCAGCCTTTGGAAAATTCTGGGCCAACCTAATCGAGCTGATGAACCGAGTGCCCCCTGTGGCGCTGCCACGGGCGAGACAGCAGACATTAAACAAGAAGAGGCAAGTGAGACCCCCCAAAGGCATACCGACCGCACTAAAGACACAACACGCTCCACTACGCCTTCCTGGGCCTAGAGTCACCTGGGGAATACCCCCAAAGCACAGACCACGCAGACAGGAGGGAACATCGAGACAAAGCCAACGTGGTACAGCTCCTGGTAACTTCCCGGTTGGGAACAACTTGGACTCAAAGAAGACCCAAGTTCGTGGCAACAAGGTGCAGGCTCTGGAACAGGCCTGGGGCCTGGGGAGTACTTCGCCCTCGACCAACAGCGTGGCTTGCTGCAGGGGTCATTGCACGTATGTGATGCAGATACCCATCCAGGGAATCGGCTAACTTCATGACTCTGGGAGATGGCTGCAGGCCAGGATCAGACCCCAAACAGGGACTCTGACTCAAGTCTACTGACCCAGCGGTATCAAAGCGTATAACAGCGTACATGTTTTATTTTATATTGTTTCACTCTACTTTAGGCTTGTTGCCACCTATGCTATCTTTCTCTTAAATGCCATGATTAGCAGCCACCTAGCAAACTAAAGTATCGACAGTTCATACTCGAGACTTAAAAACAAAAAATGTGCTGATACTGCATGCCACAAAATGTTTAACATGTGTACTTCTCTTTGCTTGCATCTGCTGTTGTGGTAGTACAAGCGTGTTTGTTTAACTATGCACTGCAAAAATATTAAATAAAAAAAAAAAAAAGAAAGAAAAGAGCACAGAGATGGTTCATTGGACACTCTACCTATTGAGCCACGCTGGATTCCACGCCTCCTCCATTGTCACAGCCTCCCTTGTGCAGTCCGCTCAAATGCTGCTCTTATTTCATTTGGCCTTTCTGTACAATGAGCCGGTGAGGAAGGGGTGTGACCGGATGGAATGGAAGTGACTAGAGGGAAGATGGGGGAGAACTGAGGACACCTAGAATGTGACGGCAGATAAGAACCATTCGGCCCATCTAGTCTGCCCTATTTTCTAAATACTTTTAATTACTCCCTGGTCTTATCTTAAGTCTAGGCCTTATGCCTATCCCACACATGTTTAAACTCTCTCACTGTGTTAGCCTCTACCACTTCAGCTGGAATGCGTCCACTACCCTCTCAATAAAGTAATACTGCCTGATATTGTTTTTAAACCTTTGTCCCTCTAATTTAAGACTATCCTCTTGTTGTGGTACTTTTTCTTCTTTTAAATATAGTCCCTTGACTGTGGACTGTATTGATTCCCTTTAGGTATTTAAATGTTTCTATCATATCACCCAGTCTCGTCTTTCCTCCAAGCTATGCATGTTAAGTTCCTTTAACCTTTCCTGGTAAGTTTTCTCCTGCAATCCATGAACCAGTTTAGTAGCCCTTCTCTGAACTCTTTCCAAAGTATCAATATCCTTCTGAAGATACGGTCTCCAGTACTGTGTACAATACTCCAAGTGAGGTCTCACCAGTGTTCTGTATAATGGAATGAGCACTTCCCTCTTTCTATACAACCAAGCATTCTGCTAGCATTTCCAGCTGCTCTATTACATTGTCTTCCTACCTTTAACCCCTTAAGGACCAAACTTCTGGAATAAAAGGGAATCATGACATGTCACACATGTCATGTGTCCTTAAGAGGTTAAGTCACCTGAAATAATTATTCCTAAATATCTTTCCTCAGATGTTGAGGTTAGTAGGGTATCAAATATTCTATACCCTGTCCTTGGGTTTTAATGCCCTAGATGCATTATCTTGCACTTATCCACATTAAATGTCAGTTGCCACAGCTCTGACCATTTTTCTAGTTTACCTAAATAATTTGCCATTTGGCTTATCCCTCTTGGAACATCAACCCTCTTACATATCTTAGTATCATCAGCAAAAAGACATGCCTTACCATCAAGACCTTCTGCAATATCAGTAATAAAAATAAATGCAGGGAGTTGGGAAAAGCTGAAAGGAAGGAGGAGACAGGCACATTACATCTGTTGCTTGCTGATGACACGATTTTTTTGGAACAAAGTCACATGTGCCAAAGGTGCAATAGGCCCCCGGCACAAAATTGAGTACATCTCTGCATGCATAGCATTTGAAGCTCAAACACAGAGTATACAGACTCCTACCACCATGAGCACTTCTAAAAGAATAAATGGTCATGGTCGTTGGAATAGCCCTTTAACTATAAGATATGAACTGTTGAAGAAAGCAACCGCTAGGGAGGTGTCAAGAAGACTATTATCCCTAGTGGCACAGGCCCATCTCTTCCTCTTCCCTTACTGGTCTGTATTATTTTAAAAAGTCAATTGGTAATATATAGCATCATGACCCAAATAAATGATGACATTCCTGAGTAACAAAAAAAATAAAATAGCCTTTTTTGTACTGTTTGTACCTGCAAGCACACAAAAGAGATGTAGACCTAACTAAAGATTTTAGGTCATATTGTCTCTGTTTAATATACTGGCAGGCAGAAAAAAAGATAAAATAACACTGTGCCTTAGGCACGTTACCAGTTTGAGACTCTTCTTCACTCTTAGGGGTCTGGATGCTTAGAAATATCTCTGCCAGGCTTAGTCTCGTTCACCATCAATATACTAAACCCTGGGCCAGAAGTGGCTTTCTTAGGTCTTCTTTTGTCTTAGATCTTGTGGGTAAAAAATGTTAAATAGCCAGGTTAAATATTCAGTTGATTTGCTAATGAAGTGTGTGGTTGTGTGATTTACAATACAAGAAAACAAATATGAGAAGATAAGTCTCCAGAACAAGTTCACTTCCGTAAAAATGGATTTTATACTCTTGTGTAAATCTTACAGCCCTGTTCTATGAAAATTCAAATCTGCTTTGTACATTACACTGTGATGGGATACCATATCAGCTACAGAATTCTAACAGCTGCCTGTGGCACAGTCTGTTCTCTGGAGAGCAAAAAGGTATGAAGGTTTTTCCTAACACTTGATTTCTCTTCTTTTCTTCACTTGCCGCATCATATCTAAAAATACATCCTGCCATCTCTTTCCTGTAGAGTTATCCATCATCTTAATGAGCATTCAGAGCTGACCTTCCACAGGGAAAACTTTACTATAAAGTCAGCCAGGGACAATGAAATATGTTCCACCTATAAGTAACACATTATAATTATTAGAATTCACAGAGCATCAACTTATTCTGCAAAGTTTTACAATGATACAGTTTGGATATGTAACATTAAAGGATAACTATAGTCACCTAAACAGCTTTAGCTTAATGAAGCAGTGTTTGTGTGTAGATCATGCCTCTCTCCGGTTTCACGGCTCAATTCACTGCCATTTAGGAGTTAAATCACTTTGTTTCTGTTTATGCAGCCCTTGTCACACCTTCCCTGGTTCTGACTGACACAGCCTGCAGGAAAAACAAAACTGGTTTCACGTTCCATCAGATGTAATTTACCTTAAACAATTGTATCTCTTTCTTTGAAAATCAAACTTTAATCACATACAGGAAGCTCTTGCAGGGTCTAGCAAGCCATTAACATAGCACGGGATACGGAAATCTAAATTAAACAGAACATGCAATAAAGGAAGGATAAATTGTATATGACTACAGCAAGTGTATAGATTAGATGACTCTTTACAGGAAGTGTTTAGGGAGGCTGTGCAAGTCACATGCAGGGAGGTGTGACTAGGGTTCATAAACATATAGCTTGGTTGCTTCACCTAAGTGTTGCTTCTAAGTGTGTAGTTGGAGATATTCTGGAGAGTTTTACAGAAGCTTCAACTGTCTAAGAGTTGTGCTAAGAGCTTTCTTTTCTACTGTTACCGGTAAGATTCATCTGTAGGAAAAGGCTACTGACTGCACAAGGTAAGATTCATCTGTAGGAAAAGGCTACTGATTGCACAAGGTTTGAATACCTGTTGGTAAGATTCATCTGTAGGAAAAGGCTACTGATTGCACAAGGTTTGAATTCTTGTTGGTAAGATTCATCTGTAGGAAAAGGCTACTGATTGCACAAGGTTTGAATTCCTGTTGGTAATTATAAGGCATTTGATTTGATTAGAAAGAGTGGAGCGTTATAAGTGAGACCAATTGTCACAACCAACAAAGCCCAGTGGAGCGCTAATGTCATAACATTAGCGCTCCACTGGGCTTTGTTGGTTGTGACAATTGGTCTCACTTATAACGCTCCACTCTTTCTCTGCATGTTTTTGTGTTAAGGTTAGAGGTACCTACACATGTGTTGAGCTGCTTACCACAATTTGGATTTTATATTATATCACATTTTAAGCGCCTGTACTCCACAGATAATTGTATCATTCTATTTGATTTGATTAAGCTAGTTACTTGCTATTGATTGCTGGTTAATTAGCTATTGTTTGCAAATAAGCAGAGGCCTACCCAGGTGTTAAACATTCCTAGTGGGTGGTGATTTTAGGAGTTATATAAGACTTGTTGTCATTAGCTTGGTTGCTTCACCTAAGTGTTGCTTATAAGTGTGTAGTTGGAGATATTCTGGAGAGAAACTGGAGGTAATCTGAGGTATTCAGGAGGATAAAGAAAAAAAGTTAAGATTAGTTTGAGTTAAATTATTTTCCTCATTGGAATGGCAGGCTTAGTTCAGTGTAATAGTTGCTATGCATTTGTTTCACGTTCTACTTTTTGGAGATTTGGTTGTTGTCTAATCTGTAGACAGTTCTCTATCTTGCGGCAGGAGATTGTATTTTTGAAGTCTGAGATTTGTAAATTATCTGGTGAGCAAACTCAGACTGGAACTGCTGCAAAGCCACTGCCGCAGAGACATACTAGGAATGGCAGATGGATTACTGTAGGATCTGGTAGACTTAGAGTTGTGGATAAAAGGCATTTTGCACAGTCTGTTGCTCTACATAATTCATTTTCTGCACTTTCAGAGTGTAATGGTGTGGTGGAGAGAGGCACTGAGGCTAGTGGTGTTGTGGAGAGAGGCACTGAGGCTAGTGGTTTTGTGGAGAGAGGCACTGAGGCTAGTGGTGTGGAGAGAGGCACTGAGTGGTGTTGTGGAGACCGGCTTGGAGACTATGGTGAGGCCTAATAGAAAGCAGTTGTTGTTGGGGGATTCCATCATAAGAGGTGTGGAGATGGACAATGGTGGTCTTGTGAGGTGTCTTCCCGGAGCTACTGCTCACAGAGACAGGAGACGTATCTGTAATATTGTTAAGCAAGCAAAGCAGGAAGGGGAATTGGATGTACTTGTCCATCTAGGCACAAATGACTTGGCTTGCAATGAGGTTTCAGAGGTTAAGGAAGTTTTT